CCACTAAACTAATATGGGCCTTTCTACCAGTGTAACTAAGAACAGAACAAATCTGTCTGTCTTCAAATAGTTTCTGAATATGGCACATTACTTCTGTAATTTGTACAAGTATAAAGATGGATCATGGATGGTACGGTTTGTACAAATGTATGTGTAACACTGCCCGCTCATCAATACACAACATGATATTTTCTACAAGAATCATCCCTTAGCTTATATATAAGTTACATAAAACAAAGAAAAAACTTTATGTACAATCATCTCAATCCAAAAGATCAAAGTCCGATGCCGGACCAAGTCATGAACAACTCTTACCTCATAAGCCGAAGATGTTATGGTCATTGGCACCGAAAATAGCCCCGCCAAACTGCCTGGTGTTCAAGTCGCTTCCATCAAAGCGGTCGAGCCACTGCGCAGGGCTGGGATTCTCTGCCTCTTCCACCCACTCTGACACCATGTCAATGTCCTCCACGGCAATCGGGTCTGTCTCCAAGGTTATCATCCTCCCTAACCTGAGATTCTGATTCACGTACGCCAAGTTGTTCAGCATTTCTCTGTCAATCTTGTTTCTCCTTTCCCAGTGCATCTGCTGGAATGTGCTCCATTGGCGTTCCAAGCTGTAACCGCTGCAAACTTGACTCAGTATCCTGATAGCCACGCGCTGCAACACGGGTGCCGAGTCACCAAACTGCTCCCACCAGAGACCTGCGAAGATAGTTTTCTACCGACTCAGACTATCTCAGACATCTCCGATCCGTTCAGTTACTGAATATCAACACTCGGAATTCTGACTTTTAAATAAAAATTGATGATGCATGCATTAGGCGTACCTGGTGATACTGTATCCCTGGCCTCCATCGCCAGATTACACCCGAACATTCCTTTTGCCCTAGTGAAAGTGAATATCTGATTTGTAATATCACGCCGTAGATCGCTAGTGGGAAGAAGTTTTTCCAAGACCTTGAAAAAGTCTTCTTTCAAGGAAGCGAGGAACTTTGTCTCCGGGTTATACTGGATACTGGGGTTCAAGAATGCAGCCGCTGCATGAAGAGGTGAATGCAAATGGTCACACCACTTTGAATCAACTATGTCAGAAAAGACCTTATGCTTAGTCTCATCCATGATGTAGTATGTCCGTATTGACTCCTTGGCCCTCGACATTAACTCGTATATAGATCCCACACCAGGCTTCCCGCTAGAAACTTCCCTCAACACTTTGAGGAGAGGCTCAGAGACAGCCACACTTTCTTCCACAGCTCTCCAAAAATCATTATCCTCGAGAATAGCCACACAGGACATGCTCTGTGGTTTATTAGCGTGTGTGGAGTAGTCTGGGCTATTAAACATTTGTTTTAGCCTTGCTTTTTGCTTCATCATTGAATGTAATGACAGAAAGCTGGAGACGGATCTTGTGACACCGCTTCTGATGATATCTTGCCCACCTGTCAGCTTCTTCAGCAGATCTAGCACGGAGCTATTGTTGTACACAAACTTGGTAATCACCTGCGCTCGCAATATACATTGGTTGACCCAATCCACCTTGGAGAAGTCTTCGAGTATCATGTTCAGACACTGAGATGCACAAGGGGACACGAAAATGCCTCCATAGGTTTGCAGGATATGGTTAGAGATACCTGTGTAGGTGAAGCTATTGTCCATAATGATCTGCACAATATGTTCTTGTCCAATGTCTTGAATGATAGAATCAAAAAGATCAGCAAGGGATTTGGTGTTCTTGAAATATGAGGAGGCGTCGACAGACTTGTGAAAAAAGGTTCTGGAAGGTGAAGAGACGAAGAAGTTGATGAGTGCTCGTGCTTTGTTGTCAGACCAAGCCTCAGCGACGACGGTACAGCCAGTGGTGGCCCACTCCTTTTCAACCTCTTTGAGCTGTGAACCGATTTCAGATTTAACCCTGTCAAGCCAAAGGGTCTTGAGAGAGAGAGCACAAGGAGCAACGAATCCAGGACCACAGTTGGCAATGGCATCGAGCATGTGGTGAAAAGAGGAAGAGCGGGCAGCGCCAAAGTCAATCTTGTTGTCGAAGAAGAAAAGAGAAATGCTCCTCTCAGCAATCTCCTGAGCATTGGGTACAAGGATACTAGGAAACAGTCGGGAAGCAGAAGAAACTGCGTCTAAGGGAAGAGGAGGAGGAGGAGGAGCAGCAGATGATGCTAAAGGTTTAGTATCCTTGGTGGTGAGTGGGGAATCGTCCTTGGCGGATAATATGGATCGGACTCTATCGGTGACATCGTCCCTTACCTTGGCACATGGATTCACACCTTTGCTCGGGAGCCGAGAGAGATGGTGCTTCAACCTGCTGATGCCGCCATTCAGTACTCTTGAGCAAAACTTGCATCTCACCTTGTTCCCATCCATTTTCTCCGCGTATTCCCAGCATTTGTCCTTTTCTCGTACCACTGCCACTCATTTGCAACAATTTTCCGTTGATTATTTATATGCAAATCTCTCATTCTCAATCTCAATCTCAATTTCAATCTCAGGAGCTACTGACTTACTTGGGATTGTTCTTCGTCAGCTTTCACCTGCCCAACAAAAACTATCCCTCGGTGAGGTTGCAATGCCGTCGTTAACCAATAAAAGCAACGAACCACTGTAAAATCTAGATATGTAAGCATTTCAAATTTTCCCAGCCGGAAGATGAAAATCGACATGATTGCTTCTTCGCTTCCGGGAGAGAAACAACCCAAGCAGCTTAAAAGAGTATTTCATTCAAATTTGGGACGAGTATGAGAAATTGGGAGAGATAGTGCTTACACAGAACTGTACGGGAGAGATTCGATTCTTCTCGCCGGAACGAACTTCTGATAATTTTTCGCGATATTTTGCCCTCTGCGTTTCTCTTTTTTTTTTTCTTTCTCGTTGTCCATCTCTTCTCTAGTTCTGACATTGTGTCATTCACTTTTTTTTTTTCTTTTTTTTTGGTTGAAGTTGCTTAACACCTTTTTTTTTTTTTTCGATCAACTTAACACTCTCTTTAATTCAGTTTTATAGTACTATATTTTATTTGTTTGATTTGTTTTTTCATTTTATATATATAAACTATATATTAACATTCTAATCTCCAAAACCTATAAAGCCACATGAATTCTCCAAGCTGGTTTAACTCTTGCCCTGATTTTTGTTCCTTAATTTACATGGCCACATAAGTAGAAACTAAAGAAAGTAGAAAAAAACAACAAAGACAAATAATCAGTAAAAATTATCTTTTTTTTGTTATAAAAATGATCGTAAATATTTCATTTCCTAAAAGAAAAGCCATCAGATGCAATCAGTTGCACATACAAACACACTAAACATACACTACGAAGTACGAACGAGAGCCTGGAGTCGTAGATTATTAGGGATATGGAAGAAAACAAGAAAAAACGAGAGAAACAGTGGCTACACGCATAATTTTTTTTATAAGATGCTGAAAAAAACTCTTGAAACAAGGAAAGTGAAAGAATAGGAGAGGAGAGAAAGGGAGGTCAAAGTCATATGAGAAAGGAGAGTGTGTGTAAGTAAGCTTATCCTCAGCGGTAGCTACGATAGGAAGGGCTGTACATGCTGCTCTCAGCACACTGCTCCAGCTCCTTGGGCTGAGGCAACCTCGTGGCCAATCCTATAATTTTGTAAATGTTGTATGTAATTCACAATTCAAACACACATTATTATTATTACTATTACTATTATATCAATAATGTTGTTGTAATTCACATTTCAAACACACACTAGGGGAGGGTACTTACCCAGTTCATAGGCCTTGGCAGCAACCTTGGCTGCAATACGAGCTGATATTTTTCGGATATTCCTGAAGGGAGGGAATATCATCCCCTTCTCATAGTGCTCCTCCATCAGTTGCTCAGCCAAAGCTTCTGATGCGGCCAGAAGCATGTCATCATGAACCCGAATGGTCCCTGACATTATAAGCCCCAGTCCAAACCCAGGGAAGATGTATGCATTGTTCGCCTGTCCACACAAACGTCAGAATTCAACTCTCTTTATATCAGTTGTCAAATCCTATTTCTATAGCTTTCGTCACAACCTGTCCAGGCACAAACGTCTTTCCCTCATACTCTACTGGCGCAAATGGGCTTCCACTTGCAAAGATCGCCCGTCCCTGTGAATCAAAAGATTGACCTTGTAACCCAACCCACTTCTCTCTGGATCATGATAAATAACAATCTTAACAACTCCTCTACCTGACTCCACGTATAGGCCTCTTCTGCCGTACACTCTGACTGAGAAGTTGGGTTTGAAAGTGAAAGAATGATGGGTTTCTGTATACACCACATATTTTGACTTTATGGTCAGGACAACAGACAAAAATGCATATGCAAAAACTTCTTTCTTTTTCATGCAAGTTTTTATGCGGAAACAATATACCTCATTTAGCTCTGCCATGGTTTCCACCACATCTTGAGTGAATGTTTTACCTACTCCTGATGTTCCAATTAGAACTGTCGGCTTGATTGCCTGAATGAAAAGAAAAAGGATTTACCGTTAACGCTAAGATACAAAAAAAAAACAAAGCCTCTTCCTCAGTGATATGATCTTCTGCAGCAGAACAATGACCAACACACCTTGACGGCATCAACAAGTTCCTTTATCGGTTCATGGTCATGAGCCCAGGGCTTTTTGAAATGTTGAATGGATTCTTTCCGGGAGCTGACAATCAATCCCTACATACATGAATACGTGTGATTAGACTTAAATACGTGTAAAAGAGAGACGAATCCACATCTCATAGATTACCTTCGAATCCACAAGCCAAATGTTCTTCCGAGCCTCTTCCAATGGAATTTGGGACTACAGTCACCAGCATATATTTCATATAAGAAAACAGGTAGCTTGACAAAGCAAATGCACATAAGCTTATAGCTTACCTTCTTTGATATCTCAAGAGCAATTAGTTCAGCTATTCCAGTGCCAGCCTGCATCTCAAAGAAATGGGAGTAAAACTATGTAACAGATCGACGGAATGGCTTTTACTGAAAAGAAAAACCCAACCCTTACCTCTCCGGCGCCGAGGAAGAGGAACCTGTGGCTTGACAAGGATCCGCCAACAAATCTAAGAGCAGCGATAAGTCCCGCAAGCACAACTGATGCTGTGCCCTATATATGAAATCACAGTTTCAGAACATGGTAAATCTGTACTCCAAGCCGGAATTACCTCGTGTATCAGGATATACCTGAATATCGTCATTGAAAACAAGATGTGTTGTACCATACTTAGCTAACAGGTCAAAAGCATTATGGTTGGCAAAGTCTTCAAACTGCAAAGGAAGAAATGTATGTAAGGATAGGAAACTTGAGAAGATCGAAACAGTGGACTCGTGTTGGTGATGTACACTTATCCATGTGTTAAGCTAACCTGAATAACGACTTTCTCCCCATAGTTCTGCTTGACTGCTGTCATGAATTCATGCATAAGTTCGGAGTATTCCTGTACAAAGAAGAGGATTAAGGTTTCAGTTTCATCCTACTTTTCGCAGGACCGTTTTACTGAAAGATGCTAATTACCTCTCCTGTAGCTCTCCTTTGGCGGAGTCCTATGTAGAACTCATCGTTCAATAGCTTTTCATTGTTTGTCCCAACATCAATTGTTACGGGCAGGCACTGGCGAGCAATATACATAGTAGAGAGATGAGAGAATGTGGTTGAATGCAATAAAGCTGATTTCCCCCAAAACTATACTTACGGCGGAAGGCCGGACACCTCCAAGGGCTGTATACAGAGAAAGTTTCCCAACCGGAATTCCCATTCCCTGAAGACATTAATGATAGCAAGTAATGTGTCGGTTAGTAAGAAGAGAAACCAAAGACACGACAGCACTCGCATGAAAGACTCAGACAACTTGCCTGACATCCAAGATCCCCTAAACCTAAAATGCGCTCCCCATCGGTGACAACAATGACCTGGATGTTCTTCTCAGGCCAGTTCCTCAGCACCTCAAGAATCTTGCCTCTATTAAGAAGAAGGAAAAAAGTGTATACTCTGTTACAAAAAGAAGAAAGAATAGTAAAAGAGGCAGTTGATTTCCTTAAACTGAAAAGAACTCACTTTTCTTTCAAGCTGATAAAAAGCCCTTGTGGACGCAGGAAAATGCTACCATACTTCTGGCAGGCTTCCCCAACGGTTGGAGTATAGACAACTGGAAGCAACTCTTCGACATGATCGATGAGAAGCTTGTAAAACAGCCTCTCGTTGGTCTCCTGAGATAGAAAAGCGTGTTATGAATATGAATTGAGGTTTGGAAAGAAAGGCAGTTGTTGTTGGTTGAAGAAATATACCTGGAGATCCATCATAGCCATATACCTCTGCAAGGGAACTTGATACTGACGAAGAGTATGCATCATTTTCTTAACCTGAAGATCTTGGGAGATAACAGTAGGGGGGAGGAGGCCGCGTAGATAGTGAGCGTCGCGCTCCCTGTGGCTGAAGGCAAGCCCTTTGTTGTGATGTGGATCGCGCAACAACGTATACCCACTGCACCACATTCATATTCTCTTTTATTTTTGATGATGATGACACATACAACCTAAACAAAAAACAAAAAAAACAAAAAAAAAAACAATTGGAATCTGAAAAATGGAATTGAGATGTACCTGGCGACAGAAAGAGACCAAGGAGTGATGGGCATGTCCTCGGTGGCAGCGTCCTCGCCGTACACATCCTGAACTCCACCAGACACGGTTGATTTGGGAACAATATCGGCGGCGGCGGAGGTCTCGAGGGAGGAGGAGGAGGAGGCAGTGGTCTCAATCAAAACGCTGCCGTTAGGATCCCGGTTAGATCCGAGAGCGGAAAAGACTCTGAAGAAAGCAGGAGGAGAGGAGATTCTAGTTCTAGGCTGGCGCAGAGAGAAGTGGGTGGAACCCGGCTTGTTCTGTGAGAAGCGAAGCAGGGCAAACTAAAGATGATGTGAAATAGACATTGATGTAGAAGAATGGAGAAAACAAAGAAGATGTGAATTACCAGAAACGAGGAGGCACTGAGAGAGATCATTGCGACGGAGATGGAGAGAGAGTCTTGGTTATGTTATGTGATGTGATGTGATCGTCTCGCTCTCTCTTCCTCTCTTCCCCTCTCCGTATGGGATTCCTCGGTTCTATCACAATGTCGCTCTAAATCTGAGAGCTTCGCAAATGGCAGAGGACCTCCAATGGACGTGTCTTCCTTCCTCTTCTATCTCTTCTTCAATTGCGTTTCCACTCCTTCTTTTTTCACCTATTCCCATTGACCAGCGGTCCCTATATTGGTGCGCTATTGTAATTTGTGCCCTCAAAATTCAAAATAAAACAAATAAGAACCACTTTTTCTGGACTGTGGCCCCTTTTCTTGTCATTTCTTTTCAATTGGAATTGTCTTGACCAAAATAGCAAAAAGGATTAGATAGCAATAAGAGACGCACAGCACAAATGTTTTTAAGCGAATTTGCAACTACCGTCAATGTAGATGTAGTTGGTTTGGAATTTCCCCCTTCTACTCTTCTACTTGACATTTATTATTTTCTTTAAAGTTAGAGAAAATAAAAGAAAAGTCTCGTCCAACTTGTGTACTGAATGGACTCCTTTTGTGTCACACGCGATGACACGATGCCCATATTTAAGAGAATCCACGTCAGTTGGGCTCCAAAATATCTTGAGACCCACCACGGTTCTCTGGGTCCGGAAAACGAAAAACCCAATAAAACCACCATCTCAGAATGAATTTTACTGTAGGTTTGTGCACAAGAATACGTGGAGGAGCACTTGGATAAGCCTCGTTTCACACTACGAACATAGTCTCTTTTTTTTTTTTTTTTACGACACACTACCAACATAGTCTTCTCTGACATTTTGCTAAGAAGATAGTCTCGCCTGATCTCACCACATATCAAAAACCGGCCGAGAAACCAAATCCTTCTCTTTGACCTGCTTTTAAGCACAAAGTCATTAAGTTTCAGTTCTGTTCTTGAATTTATTTTTTTATGGTAAGCTCCAAATAAATTGGGATTTGGAACAACCTTCCTTCCTTCAACACCAAAAAAAAAAATACAAAAAGTTGCGTTCTCAAATCAACAAACAAAAAAAAAGGTGGGAGTTATATTACATCTGTTTCGTCATCATCTACACGACTATAATAATTAATAATTAAAAAAAAAATTAAAAATCATATTTGGCTCTAGAATACATGGTAGAAGAACAGAGAGCAGCATGTGTTATGCACATATTGTATATCATCACATAGGTTTATCTGGTCTGGAAGTTGAGAGTTCTGATGCAGAAGGCGAAGATGAAGGCGAAGAAGACGGTGAAGCCGACAAGGACTGCAGCGACAGGTCCCATAAAGTCAGACTGGAAGCCATAAGTGTCGTCAATGTATTGCTTGACGGTGAGGCCTGGAGGACCTCCGAGGACGGTGATAGGTGTCTCGACGTCTCCGTACTGTGAGACGATCAAACCATAGACGGTCCATGCGACGGGGCAGATCCAGTAGTACCAGATCCACCACTTGGGGATTTTGGGTCTTGGGATGAAGAAGCCCGAGAAGAGGTTGAAAATGCCGTAAAAAGCAGAGGCGAAGATAGAAGCGACTTGCTGGTTCGGTGTGAGGGAGACGGTCATCATGCCGTAGTAGGTCCAGTAGAGGAAAGAGAAGTAGCTGACAAAGAGGAACCAGAAGAACTTGGCGGCTTTCCACTCGAACCCAACCATGGCATAAACGATGAGTGAGTAGTAAGTGGTCTGCACCAGGACATAAGGCAGCTCACAGGTGACCTGGGAGATGGCGTATGGCATGGCTGAGTACATTCCTGCAGCCCTTTCCCTGTAGAACACAGTCCTCTCCACTGCCACCATCGGCTGTACCGTCGAGCAATTGTTTATCCCAACAAAGATAACTGCCGCATACAGTGCTCCTATCACCATCGTCAGGTCCCCTGCGTTGGATCTGTTTCCTCCGATTTGCCAGAATATGGTACCAATGAGGAGAGATGTTGCCAGTGTGAAGATGAACCGGACTAGGTTGTAGTCTGGGGATCTCCAATACGTCCACCACTGCTTCCATAGGCATGATTTGAACTGTCCCCATGTGTTCTGCGAGAACTGTGTTGCAAAGTAGAGATCAGACGCACCTGCCGGTGGTACACTCAGTTCTTTCACCAACGCTTTGTTCCGCCTGCGATGTTTAATGTCATTTATCTAATGATCAGACACACACATTGCAAAAAACAAACGAATAAAAAAAGAAGAAGCAACTTACTGGTGTAAGGCGGATGACTTGTACAACTCTGCAAAGTCAACTCCAAGCTTTAACTCTGCGGCTAGTGAGCTTGCTTCAAGCATCCAAGTGGCCGGGTTATACTTTTCTGGAATCTTGGGCACTCCTGGGAAGGCTTCGAAGTACTCCACCACCTTGTGAGAGTTTCGACCCAATGGACCCGCGTAGATCACTTGTCCTCCTCTCTTCATCAACATCAACTCATCAAACGCTTCAAAGATATCAATGCTCGGCTGGTGGATGGTGCACACCACGGTTCTTCCTGTGTCCACCGTGTTCCTAACTGCCCTCATCACGATAGCTGCTGCTCTCGCATCCAGCCCTGAAGTCGGCTCGTCCATGAAGATGATTGAAGGGTTGGCTACAAGCTCCACCGCGATTGTCAGCCTCTTTCTCTGCTCCGTTGAGAGCCCCGTTACTCCTGGTAAACCCACGATGGAGTCTCTCAGACTGTCCAGCTCTACCAATTCCATCACTTGGTCCACAAACATCATCTTCTCCTCTTTGCCGACTTCTTTTGGAAGCCGAAGGAAAGCCGAGAAAATCAGGGATTCTCTCACTGTGACTTGCGGGGAGTGAATATCAGTCTGCTCACAGTACCCTGAGATTCTAGCAAATGTCTCTTGAACCTTTGGGAATCCTGATATTCTCACATCTCCTTCGATATATCCGCCTGTTTTCCTTCCGGCCAAAACGTCCATTAGTGTTGTCTTGCCTGCACCACTCACCCCCATGAGTGCAGTCAACACTCCTGGCCTAAAAGCACCTGTCACACCTTTAAGCAGTTGCAGCCTGTTTTCTGTAACTCCTTGTTCCCTCATTTCCTGTACCATCAAAACACACACATATTTTTAGTATTTTTATCATATTTATTTGGTTTTGTCAAAAGATTCAATTGTATTCAAAGAACTGAAAGAATATGGTTACCGCAGGCATGTCAACAAAGTATCTGACTTCGTCAAAGGACATAGCCAGAGGAGTGAAAGGAAGAACCATTCCTCTCTTATTGCCTCCACCGCTGGATGCTTCAGCCGCAGAGTCTGCATTCCTACCCATTCTCCCCATTGCGACTTCTCCTGATAGCAGAGCAGAATGAGACCCCCCAAAACAAAACAAACAAAAAAGTCCAAGAAAACAGATGAAGAAATAATTACTTTTGTTCCCATCTGCAGTAGACAGAGATCTACGCATTGGATCTTTCCTCTGATCCGAGTCTTCATTTTCTTCTTCTGGAAGTAAACCAGACTTCTTCCCAAGAGCTGTAGTTACAAGGTACATATTAATTAGTCTATTTGTTTTTCGCTTGGTAGATGCAAACATAAATATCCACAAGAACTTACGGTTGAGATAGGTAAGTGCAAAAGTGAATAAAAGGTTGAAGAGGACTGTGAAACCAAGCAAGGCTCCAACTGCAATCCAGTACCAGTTTTTATTATTGTGGACATCCCAATTATTAAGCACCATGGTTCCGAGATTTGTGCTATTGTCAGAAGCCTGCAGTTTTTCAATAGTTTGACTCAAATAAGTTTACTACTATGATATGTTTGTAAATACAGAAAAAAAAAAAAAAAAGCAGCAAGCACTCATTCACTTACCTTTTTGTTCATCCATCTAGGAGCAAACATTTCATTGACCGTTAAACCGCTGAAAGCGTAGGTGAGAGGAGATATCCAGTAGGCCCACCTCCACCACTCAGGAATCTCACCATGTGGAAGAAGGAAGCCCCCGAGCAAGAAGACGAGAAGCAGAGTGAGAGCACCACCAGTATTAGCTATCATCATGGTTCTGCACACAGAAGCAATCAACCTAAAGAGTGCAGCAGCCATTTGTTGAATCAAAAACACCAAGAGAAACTGCTTGAAGAAGCGGCCTGCGTCAGGTGCAAAACCGATGGAATAATAAGTCACCACCATCCATGCTGTGGATTCGAAGATCGAGGTTGGAATCCCGAGCAAGAAGGTGGGAAGGGTGAACGTCCAGGACGGATAAAACAGGAGGTCCCTCTGTTTGTAGAACACCGGAAGTCTCGAGACCATCATAGCCATCTCCGCAAACCCATTAAACATGTTGATGATCATTCCAAACAGCAATGCTCCGATGTAGAGGTTGGCATCAGCCTCGTTATTCGTGTTCATTTCGGTTCTGAGGAAGAGGGTAGACGTGATTGCTGCGATGATGATGATCTGCACGGTCTTGAAGACGTAGAAAAAGGCGTTCCGCTGCATGAGCAGCCACTCTTTGTCCCAGCAGCTCTTGAGAAGCTCCCTCTTAGAGACTGAGTACTTGTCGAACACAAGAGCTGCTTTGTGGCCGCGAGACTTTTCGTACGGTACTGAGAGCTCGTTGGAAAGCTGCTTTCCGACGTGGAAGCCCTTGAATCTGCTGGCAAACTCTGAAACTGGAATGTAGCGGTAAGGTCTGTTCCGGTCCACCCAGTATTGTTCCTGATCTTTTTTGGAGGTGACCTGTGCAACACGCAACAATGTTGGTCTCTGTTTTTGTGAAGGGACGGCGAATATATTGTATGAAGAGCCAAAGAGAAGAAGAGAAAGGCGTAATTACCTCTTGCAAAAAATCAGCGGTTCCTTTTCTCTCGGGACACTTGAAGCCAAAACTCTCAAAGAAGTCGAGAATGTGGTCTCTGGGGCCTTGGTACACGATCTGACCCTCGGACAGCAAGATGATATCATCGAATAAGTCAAAGGTCTCAGGAGCAGGCTGGAGGAGAGACATGAGCACGGTGGCGTCTGTGAGGTGAACGATCTGCTGAAGGCACTTGACGATTTGGAAAGTGGTGGAGCTGTCCAGACCTGTGGATATCTCGTCCATGAACAGCGTTTTAGTAGGCCCCACAATCATCTCACCGGTGGTGACACGTTTCTTCTGTCCTCCGGAGATACCTCTCATCATGTCGTCTCCAACTACGGTGTCCTTGCATATGTCAAGCCCAAGAATCTGTTGCATTCCACGGCAAGAATCAGTTTTACTTTCTTTTCTTTTTTATGATGATATATTAATTGTGCGTGCTACAAAAAGAGCTAGCAATAAATGAAGATATCAAGTAGTAGTTAACAAGGAGTGGGGCTCACTTTGAGAGTGTAATCAGTGATGAGACTGCTCTTAACACCTTGAGCAGCGGAGGCTTTCATGAAGAGATCAACATCGGCTTCAGGGAATATCCCAGCGTCTTTTTCTCTCCTTGCGAGCTCGTTCAACAGATCTTCATGAAGAGAGAGAGAGAAATCCGTTCAAGAAAACCATAACCAAAATGAAAATGGAAAAAAAAAAAAAGACTTGGAAGAAGCAACAAATGATGCATACCGTAACGGGTACCAACGCCTTGGCACCTGGCGGAGAAATCAAGAGTCTCCTTAACGGTCATGATGCCGACGTGGAGATCGTTCTGGCTAATGTAGGCAGAGGTTTTCCGGGGAACAAACTCGTCGAGGCGGTAACCGTTGTAGGTGATATCACCAGAGACCTGGAGGGCTTTGTCGAGTTTGCCGGCGAGAGCCAGGAGAAGAGTGGTCTTACCGGAAGAAGGGGGACCCAACAAGAGGGTCATCCTGGAGGGCTTGACGCTGCCAGAGATGTCTTTGAGGATGGTGAGCTGAGCTTTCTTGGCAAACTCAAGGCCGACCATTCCCAGAGCAGACTCTGCCATGTTCCTGACGACGTTGAGAAGCGTTGGGAGAGATCTGTTTCCGGTGTAGCAGTCGGCTTTGATGGTCAAGTGCTCGTACCTGACCTCGACCGTTGGGAGCTTGATACCGACCCTGTCGATCCTGTTCCTGAGCTTGGTCAAGATCCGCTCGTTGTCTTGCTCGGCGACCTTGAAGACCATGTCGATGAACTTCTGGCGGTCCTCGCCGTCGAGCTTGGTGACGTCGACCTCCTTGCTGAGGAGCTGATTGCCGTAGACGTCGTCCTCCACAACGGCGGTCATGAGGGTGGTGCGGAGGCGGCTGTAGGTGGGCAGTTTCTCGATGGCAGCCCATTTGAGAGCCTCTTCGTCGTCGTTGACCGACTGCGTGCGTCTCGAACCGCCGGCGGAGAAGATGTCTTCGAGGTTTCTGCTGGCTCTGCTCACGCTCCGGCTTATGCTTCGCCGCATACTCCCACCTCCGCTGCTTAACGGAAGATTTGGGTTGTAATCCATTCTCTCTTTTTTCTTGCCAGAAAGTCAATTTGATCTTGTCTTTTTAACTCAAAATTGGTCGGAGAAACAGAGAGGTGGTCGGAGAAACAGAGAGGGAGAGAGAGAGAAAGTGGGGAAGGATGCAGAGATGAAGGTTGGGATTAGAAAATGGATAAATAGGGAGGCCAGTGAAGAACATCAAGGTGGACTTTTCCTCAGTTACTTCTTTCTTTCTTTTCTTTACTTAAAAAAAAAAAAAAACTTTAATTTTTGTCGTTAATAATGTTTATTATTCAAATGCGAGGTGCTGATCAAGATGATGGCGGCGGCTCCCAAACGCCCTTTATTTATTATCATTAAATTCACTCTAATTATTTAACGTTTTATTTTCCTTTCTTTTGTTATAAAACTTAACTAATTATCGATTCTGTTATCTTCAAAGTCAACAAAAGATAACACAACAAGTGCTCCAGCGAGTAAGGTTGAGTCTTTCTTCCTTCTTTCCTTTTTTTTCCTTACTTTTTAATTCTTACAAATGTCTCTACATGTTTGAAGTCTTTGTGTTCTGGAAACTGAGAAATTGGGGACGAACAAGTCAAACATTTGTGATAGACCGGAATCAGATGGTGGGAAAAGCATCTGCGAGATGGTAAATTGATAATTAGTTGGAAATTCACAACTTGGGTTTTTTAAAGGAAACAGAGAATGGTTGACTTTGGTCAACAGATTCAAATTCCATACCAAGTACTAGTTTGAAGCCGAATGAGAAAAGTCAAACAAACATTTTATATATAATATACATATATTATGTTTACAGCTGTTTTTGTTTGTTGCGGCAATCACTCTTTCAAGACTTTTCAATTCCCTTTTTTTTTTAACTCTCTTTACAAACGAATTCACCCTCATTTTTTATTTTATTTTTACATTTCTTCTTCTTTTTTTTAATTATTTCTAACACTTAAATTTGTCCTCTTTTGTATCAGGGATAGGGACGGTGACTATCGAAAGGACCTCTGATCAGTTTATTTACGCGAAAGTGGTAAGTGGAGTGGATTCTTTACAGTTGATAGTTGTTTACGCGGCGCCAACTGTGAGCAGAAAGAGTGGGCTCTGGGGTGAGCTGCGCGATGTTATACATGGGGTTGATGGACCTCTCTTGATTGGTGGGGACTTTAACACAATTGTGAGATTAGATGAACGCACAGGAGGCAATGGGAGACTTTCAGTGGACTCTTTGGCGTTTGCTGAGTGGATAAATAGTGAATCTCTAATTGACATGGGATTTAGAGGTAACAAGTTTACCTGGAGAAGAGGAAAGGAAGTACAATATTTTGTGGCTAAACGATTGGATCGTGTGTTGTATTGCGCGCATGCGAGGCTGAAGTGGCAAGATGCGTCGGTGACACACTTACCATTCTTGGCTTCTGATCATGCCCCTTTATACATCCAATTAAGTCCGGAGATAGGACGTGATCCGAGAAGACGCCCGTTCAGGTTTGAAGTGGCATGGTTGAATCATATAAGTTTCAAAGACCTACTATCGTCCTCATGGAGGAGTGATATGACTACTCCAGAAGCGTTGAGAATACTTCGTACGACGTTGAGGAAGTGGAATAGAGAAGTGTTTGGTGATGTCCACAAACGGAAAAAGAAGTTGTTGTCGGATATCACAGACATACAGAACCAATTGGATACCGCACAGACTGATGGGTTATTAAAGCGAGAGGAAGAGTTGCTGCTAGAACTCGATAAAGTTCTGGAACAAGAAGAGACCATTTGGTTCCAAAAGTCCTGTGAGAAGTGGATCGCACATGGGGACAGAAATACGAGTTTCTTTCACACGTCTACAGTAATTAGACGCCGGCGCAATCGTATTGAAACCTTAAAAGATGATGAGGGAAGATGGGTATCGGACCCGAAGGAGTTGGAGACATTGGCACTCACCTACTACAAGCGCCTTTATTCGATGGAAGACGTTGATCCTGTAGTAGAGAAGCTGCCTCAGCCTGGGTTTCAGCGTTTGACTCGAGAGGAGAAAGCTGAACTGAGCAAACCTTTTATCGGAGTGGATGTGGAAGTTGCTTTGCGTAGCATGGGCAAATTCAAAGCCCCGGGACCAGATGGATATCAACCCGTGTTTTACCAATCGTGTTGGGATTATGTTGAGGAATCGGTGACCAAGTTCGTTCTGGATTTCTTTGCAACAGGAGACTTACCCCCAGGAACGAATGACGCGCTTCTAGTATTAATTGGTAAGGTGGGAAAGCCGGAGAAGATAACCCAATTTAGACCAATTAGTCTATGTAATGTGTTGTTTAAAGTGGTGACTAAAGTGATGGTGCTTCGACTGAAACGCCTAATGCCGAAGTTAATCGGACCTGCTCAATCGAGTTTTATTCCGGGAAGGCTGAGCACGGACAACATTATGGTAGTGCAGGAGGCCGTGCACTCTATGAAACGTAAGCAGGGTCGAAAAGGATGGATGCTCCTGAAATTAGACCTGGAAAAGGCATATGATCGGATCCGCTGGGATTTTTTGGAAGACACACTTGTTGCGGCAGGCTTCTCGGATTTATGGGTGAGATGGATACTGAATTGTGTGACGGGACCTGAAATGACGGTGTTGTGGAATGGTGAGATAACTGAGCCGTTCAAACCTATGTGCGGTTTACGACAAGGCGATCCCTTGTCGCCATACTTGTTCGTGTTATGTTTAGAACGGTTGTGCCACCTGATTGATGCTGCTATAAGCAGAAAGGAATGGAAACCGATCCGATTGGCGCGTGGAGGTCCTCTTTTGTCCCATATTTGTTTGCCGATGATTTGATACTGTTTGCGGAAGCTTCAGTTGCTCAGGTTCGAGTGATAAGGCGGGTTCTCCAACAATTCTGTGTTGCGTCGGGTCAGAAGGTGAGCTTAGAGAAATCAAAGATCTTTTTCTCTAAGAATGTTTCAAGGGAATTGAAGGCTCTGATTAGTAATGAGAGTGGAATCCAAGCCACAACAGATTTGGGTAAATACCTCGGCATGCCGTTTTACAGAAAAGAGTGAATAAGGAAACATTTGGTGAGGTTTTGGAGAGGGTTTCTTCGCGCTTATCTGGATGGAAGAGCCAGTGTATGAGTCTTGCAGGGAGGATAACACTAACCAAGGCAGTGTTATCATCGATTCCCATTCATACTATGAGTGTCATATTGATGCCTCAAGCCACATTGGATGCTTTGGATAAGATATCACAGTCATTTGTATGGGGTAGTACAAGAGAGAAAAGAAAACAACATCTTGTCGCATGGAAGAGAGTGTGTAAACCGAAAAGAGAGGGAGGTGTTGGTATTCGTAAATCCAAAGAAACGAATATAGCACTTCTCGCAAAAGTTGGTTGGCGTCTGCTTCATGATAGAACAAGCTTATGGGCTATAGTGTTGCGGAGTAAATACAGAGTACAGGATACTCAAAACCTCACGTGGATTAAACCGAAGGGTAACTGGTCCTCTACATGGCGGAGTATAGCAACAGGGGTACGGGATGCAGTGTTACAAGGGCAAGGCTGGGTGTTGGGTAATGGAAAGGATATCCAATTTTGGAAGGATAAGTGGCTCACAGACTGTCCTCTCACGGACTTGGTGGTAACTGAGATACCCGAACAAAGATTGAATGACAAGGTATGGGATTTATGGAGTGATGGAGTGGGTTGGTTGTGGCGAGATATTAGACCATATGTCAGGGAGGATGTATGTCTACGGATGGGATCAGTGGTTTTAGATAATATCACAGGGGCTCGCGATCGACTATCTTGGAGGCATAGTATAGATGGCTGCTTCACGGTTAAGTCGGCTTACGATTTGTTAACTCGGGATAGTGAACCGCGTCAGAATATGGAGAAATTCTGGCACCGTGTATGGTCTGTAATGGCACCTGAGCGGGTTAGAGTTTTCTTGTGGTTGGTGGGGAATCAAGCCATCATGTCGAATTCGGAAAGGTATCGAAGACATCTTTGTGATTCTTCCATATGCACAGTTTGTAAGGGTGGTGAAGAAACTATCATTCATATCTTGCGGGACTGTCCGGCCATGGCTGGAGTTTGGAGGCGAGTTGTACCAACCAGTAAAGCTCTGAATTTCTTCTCGATGTCGCTCCTTACATGGGTATATGACAATCTTGGTAGCACACTTGAGGGGTGGCCAACTTTGTTTGTTATGACACTTTGGTGGGGGTGGAAATGGCGGTGTGGGAATGTGTTTGGTGTGAATGGCAGATGTCGTGATAGAGTTAAGTTTGTTAAGGACTTAGCTAAGGAAGTTATAGCTGCTACCACGTCGGCGAGGGGGTCGCGAGTGATTCCGGCGAGGGAGGAGCGATTGATAGCTTGGAAACTACCACGAGCTGGGTGGATGAAAGTGAATACGGATGGGGCGTCTCAAGGAAATCCGGGGAGAGCATCGGCTGGTGGTGTCCTTCGGGCTGAGGATGGAAGCTGGATATGCGGTTTTGCGCTTAACATTGGCATATGCTCAGCACCGTTGGCAGAACTATGGGGCGTGTACTATGGACTATATATGGCTTGGGAGAGGCGGGTGACTCGTTTGGAGTTAGAGGTGGATTCGAAGGTGGTGTTGGGTTTTCTTACGACAGGGATTAGCGAGGCTCATCCGCTGTCTTTCCTGGTGCGTTTGTGCCATGGCTTTATATCAAGAGACTGGAATGTCCGGTTTTCTCACGTGTATAGGGAAGCTAATCGTCTTGCGGATGGATTAGCTAACTATGCGTTTTCTATTCAGTCAGGTTTTCATTCTTTTGATTCTATTCCTAGTGTGGTTAATTTTATTTTTGTGGATGATGCGCATAGAACTTCGTTTCCACGGCGAGTTTGTACTTAATTTTTGGCATGAATAAATTGAGGGACGCAATTGCTTCCCTCTTTCCCACCAAAAAAAATTGTCCTCTTTTGTTGGGTGTCGGGCATAACATCTTTGACTCTACCCGTGACTCTACATAGGAGGAATGCAAATATTGTATCCATAACATTATATATCCTCATTGCAACCAAAGATACGCCCACGTGATTTTGATTAGGAGTGTTAAAATACAGAATCCTGACCAGAGGAATGCTTCTATATTATTATTTAACTCAATAATCATGCATTCCAATATTATTGATTGTAACAGCTGTGACCTGTCATTAATTGTGTGAATTAAAAACTTGAAACGAGTGCAATCATGGATATATATTTTTTATGATTCGATGAAAGCCTGTTTGCTAAATGACCGGAGAGAGGCAAGGAAACGGCCCAAATTGGGTCCATGGACGATTAGTATGTATATGAGTATATCTCTCTCTCTCTCTGTAAAGGAAAGGAGAAAGTTGAAATGGGACATGTACATATAAGAAGAAATTTGAGAGGATGAAAAAAGCAAACAAAAGAATTGCATCCCATCATTATGTCCTTGCTTTGTTTAACAAACCTTTTTCTTTCTTCAATGACCCTTCCTCTTCTACATATTATTAACCAAAAAAAGAAGAGAAAAAAAAGACGTAGAAGTAGAAGTAGTAACTAAACTAAGGAAGACCAAACAAATTTAAAATGGGAGTATCATCTCCTGATTTCCGAGCTCCTCCTCCCTCCCCCGTGGCTTCCAGCCGCCGTGCCTCATTCACGGCTAACGAAGACGTCCTCTCGGAGTTCTTGGATAAGTGTGGTCGAGTCCCAAATCTTGTATTGCCCGACAAAGTCTTCCCCAAGCACAGATTCCTTCTCAAGCCTCCCTCCTTCGATTTCCTCCGGCTACGCTCCCAATCGGCCCTCCTCCTGGATGCCATCTCCACCATCGGTTGTTTTCAGCTCACTAACCATGGCGTTCCAGAGTCTACTGTGAGAGCTGCCATGGCCGCCGCTGACCAATCCATTTCCCAAGATGACACGGAGGAGTTGGTGTTGTATAAAGATGATATCGCTGATCAACAGACGGAGAGACCTGCTTATTATTCACATTTGAGGTATGAAAACAAAAGGTCTAAGATTGTAATTCTGGAATGAAAGGACCTAATATATGAATGATACAGGGAGTTGATGGGTGAAGCAGAGAGGATAGGGAAAACGATGAGAGAAATGCTAGGAGTGAGAAGCCAACAAGAAGAAGGTGTAGGGGTTTGCTACGTGAAGAAGCATAATAGCAAAAACGAATCAAAAGGGTTTGAGGAAGAAGAAGCGATAAGGTTGCTGATAAGAGGGTATGATGAGAAACATTCTCTGTGTCTCAGCTTCTGCCATGCAGAGTTCCACGTCTACTCCAAGAGAGGTTGGGTCTCCTTCTTCCCAAGTCCAGATGCGGTCGTGGTTACGGTCGGAGATCAAGGCTGGAGCGGCAGGTTCAAGGCTGTTGTGGGGAGGCCCCTTTGTCTTTACAGATCAGATCATGCATCTCTTCCTCACCATTTCCTTTCTATCTCCTTTCTCTACGCTACGTTGTCTACTACTACTACTCTCCACAACAACAACAACAACCACCTAAGAATTACTCAGCAGAAGAAAAAGAAGACCATTTCCTTCTCCCAACAGCTCCTCTTTGCTCTCTTTCTCACACTCCTCTTCCCTTTCTTCCTTCCTTAATCATTTCATACTTCTTGCTTCCTCTTTAATCATTTCCTTTATAAACAACAAGTGTGTGTGTGTGTCTCAATATCCTTTTACCCTGCATTGGAGGGCCCAAAATATTAATTTTAAAAGCCCACTAGTTCCATATAATGTTAAAATTGCCAGCCCAACCCCTTTGTACTATTTACTTTGCAAATGTCAGATTGGTTTGCAGATGTTTGACACTAACAAGAATCAGATTGATACTCTGCAATATTACTACGTAACCCAAGAATCAAGATTGATAAATAAACATATATTCATCTCTAATATCTCAGATCATGGAAATGTGCCGCACAGGCTAAAACTGCTATACATGTAATTTTGATTTATAATAGGTAAGTAGTTGAAACTATACATATATGTATATATATAGTTAACGCAGCAATGGAGACAACATGAAGTCTAGAGTTATTGTGAACTTAGCATATACTAATACATAATATGTATGCATGCACGTGAAGACGTGATCTCCCCCACTTTACAATTATCGTAAAAAAGTGAGTTTAAACATAACCCGTTTCTTTTCTTTTTTTTTTTTTTTGGGAGTTGGAAATATTTACATGTTTTAAATTTAAACTTCATAATGAGTGGTCTTCTTCGAGTCCATGTTGTTCCTCAATTTTGTGCGGTTACACAAAATCCACACACACGTGACCTACCACTGTCTTTGGGATCGACATAGTTCCTTTTACTTACCCTCCACATAATTATTTAGCTCTAGCTAGCTTTATCCACTTAATCGTTTGTATCTCCACTTTTGGCTCGCATATGTCTCATGTCTTTTTATAGCTCAGGTTCTGATAGTTGGTCCATCCGATTTTTGATCTCTAACGAAAATGAATTAGAACGCAATGACACACCAAGTATTATAATAAAAAAGAATGACGTACACCAAATCCAGTAGAGATCAGTGACAAAGAAGCGTTGTTATATATTTTAATCCCCATGGACCCCATATATAGTTATATAACTCAAGATATATATATAATACTTTGGAAGAGTTGTAGTTAAGGGTTGCTAGCTGCCAGTTGCAAAGGTCGCACGTGAATTGGCGATCAGTACATGATGGTTTCATTAATTAGTATCGTTGTGAAAAGTAAAAAGAAAGTAAAGAGGTCGCTATTGCATGAGCACGTACGTGAGATGGCAATGGTGAAGCACACATGAATGAACTCGACTCCTCGACCGCTTATAAATACAAAACCTTATCGAGACATATATCTCTATATTGAAATAACTAAAACAAAAAAATGGCAGCAAACGGGGGAAGAAGGAAGAGCGTGAGCGGAAGCGTGGTGAAGCCGCCACCACCACCAAAGCTAGCGAAGGAGTCACTGCATAGGACACTATCAGACATATCGTTGGATTTCAAAAGAGGAGGAGGATTAGGAGGAGAAGAAGGGAAAGGGCTGGTGGCGATAGCGGAGGTGGAGAAGGCAAAGTGCGAGTGCTGCGGGATGAGGGAGGAGTGCACGATGGAGTACATAGAGAGGGTGAGAGAGAAGTTCTTGGGAAGGTGGATATGCGGTCTCTGCTCAGAGGCGGTCAAGGAGGAGAGGGAGAAGAAGGAGGAGAATGGGCTCGAAGGGGCCTTGAAGGAGCACATGAGCGCCTGCCTCAGGTTCAACAAGCTTGGGAGGGAGTATCCTGCTCTCTTCCAAGCCGAGGCCATGAGAGATATGCTCAGGAGAAGCACCAGGGGCCAGTCTATTAGCCCTCAACCCACCTCTACTTCTCTTCACAATAAGCCCGCCATTTCCCGCACTTCAAGCTGTATTCCTGCCATCACCAGGGACCTTCATTGATTATTAACCCTTTCATTTTACACACTCTCTCTCTTTCGCAATATATATATGTATAATTAGCACTTGCTTTGTCTAATACTATAATCATAACGTTTAATTTAGTAGTCCCTAATAATAAAAACGAGATATATTCTCCTGATCCACCTGGTCAAGTGTGTGTCCTTTAACTCCTCTAGTTTCGTTTTTCTCAAACCAAAATCAAATTACAAAAGGGACCAACGATTTACTATGTACTAGTATAATTTTACAAGTTATTTACCAACTAACACGGGGAAAGGCACAAGATGCCCTCTGTTGTAGGCCAGTATGGAAATCTAACAGTTAGTTAAGTTAATAAACTGGACTGGGCTATTCAACAGAAATTACTAATGGGCTATTCATAATGGATCCTTATGAGACGTGTTCACTGTTCGTTGGTTGTATAGTATCCCCTTCCACTCTTTCCATGGGATATATTTATGATAATGATTCTGTTTGTTCTGTTGGATTGAGGATAGGTTTAACTTTTAAATGTATGTGGTTCCTCTTGATATAGTCATATTGAATGAAGAGAAATGTGAAAATATAAGAAAGAAAGAAGATAATGCAAATGCCATTCAGAATCGGGTCATTTGCATTGTGCGTCTTAATAATTAGTAGACATGATGAATGAGGCACGCTAATTGAGTAATTGTACATAGTGATAGGCAAGTCCCAACAGAGTAGAACTGTAGAAGGTATGTTTTATTTTTCATTATCTTTATTTTTTTCTACCTAAAATAAGAAAAGAAAGGAATGTGGCTTGAAATATGGGAATTCACAGTTTTCGTCCCTTTTTTTTTATAAGAAATACGAAGAAGAAGAAGAGAGAGAATGAAAAAGGAGAGGAGGAAGCAACACGAAAAAGGTGAGGGAGAAAAGGGAGTACTTGTATAAGAGAGAAATTAATAAAAAAAAAGAAAGAGTGAGTCGGTGTGTGCGTTTCATAAAACAATAATAATAAGAATAAGAATAGAGGGCAGAACCAAAAAAAAAACAGGGGGAGATCGAATGAACAGAAGTGGAGAGGAGGAGGAGGAGGAGGTGGTGGCCGAGAAGAGGAGGAGGAGGAGGAAGAGGGAGGGGGTGCAGGTGGCTCTCAGGGGAGGCTGCCTGGCTGCTTCAGCCACGGCTATGGCGGTGATGCTGACGGCTACAGAGGAGGGAGTGGCAGACGTCTATGGCTTCAAGCTTACTCTCAACTCCAAGTGGTCTTTCTCTCCCTCCTACCAGTAAGTCTTCTTCTTCTTCTTCCATTCTGATTCCTCAAACCTGAATGCATTATAGAAAAAAAGCTAGATCATACTCAAGTTATAATTAATTACTTTCTTTTTTATTAAAAAAAAAAAGGAAAGTGAAAAATGTGTTTTTTCAGATGCCCGAAATTCCGGTGAACAGAAACACACCCGTGAACCCAAAAAAAAAAAAAAAAACATGACATGACATTGTTGTGTGCACCACTTTTAAAGTTTTATTCTAATAAGAGTGAGTTTGGTGTGAAGGTTTGTGGTGGGGGCATGCACAGCGACCATGCTATACTCCCTGTTCCAGCTCTGTCTCGGTGCTTACAGGCTCCTCACCGGATCTCTCATTACACCCTCCCGCTTCCAAGCTTGGCTTTACTTCATCACCGATCAGGTTCCTCATCTTCCCTTGTCCCTTTGCAGTTCCTCAGACTGTAACCCTTAGATATGTGCTCTACTCTCTGTGTGCGCAGCTCTTTGGCTATTTGATGATGAGCGCTGGATCAGCCGGTTTTGGAGTTACCAACCTCAACAAAACCGGCATCAGACACACTCCTCTCCCGGACTTCTGCAAGACCCTTTCTTCTTTCTGCAATCACGTCGCCCTCTCTCTCCTCCTAGTCTTCCTCTCATTCATCTTCATCGCCTCCTCTTGTCTCTTTAATGTCCTTGTGCTCTCCACTCCCTAGTCTTATGGACTCTCTCTATCCTTGTTGCTTTATATATATAGACAGACTCTACTTACGGTCACTTGCATTCCCAAAACAATGTATCTGCTTATTTTTTTTGCAAGTGTAATTCTCTCTAGAGAAGCACCACAAATTACAACATCCAAGATGCAATACAAGTTACAAATAACATCCAATCAAATTTTGGGTAGAGAGATGTTGATCCCTAGATGTGAGAGATCCTTAACGAGTGAATCTGCATCCGCAAAACATAGCCCACGCATCCCTATCTCTATAGCAGACTTGACGTTGGTTGGCCTGCGTACCAGAAACTCCCTCAGTCAGGTCAAAATGGTGGTCGAGTCAAGTTAAAGAATACAAAAGCCAGTCCTAACCTGTCATCAATGAATATACAGTCGCAAGGTTCGACTCCGAGATGTCCTACAACCTCGAGATAGAACTCTGGATCAGGCTTTCTCTTTCCTAAAAGATAATTAAAAACACACACATGAGGAGTTGTTTTTTTCTTGGATGGGGATGATAAGCGATAGGTAGTAAAAGAGGCAAAAGATGTGTGTTGTACCAGCATTACAGGAACAAAACGTCCACGATAAGTAGGCAGAAAGCTTTAACTTGTCTTCGATGATTTTGTACCTACGTATATGGATGAAATGAAACACAAGAGTCAACATATAGATGAAGCTAGCCGGTTGCCCATTAGAAAGACAGTTTGAACCGAGAGGGGATGGGAAACCAGATGGGATAATTGGTGAAAGCATGAATCTCAAAGTTGTCAGCTTTCAAAGTTTGAAGAAGCTCTTGCATGCCATCTAAGTAGGAATATCCTGATCTCATGCACTCCTTTAGCCCTGCAAAAAGAGAAAAAATCCTTTGATAAAAAGAGGATTTGATTAAAAGGATAGGTACTAGAAAACCACTTTCTCTATAACTCTCACCTTCCAAATCAAAGTCCCTCCCATCAGTGAAGAACTTAGTTGCTAGCTCCTCCTAAACGATGATGCCAAAAAGTCAAACCAGGAGATAGATATATAATCAAGTGGGAGATATATGTTGAGATCGGTACCTCATCAATCAAGCCATTTTCAAATTCGATCCACGCCATAGGGTGCTTGCAATCTAACAGTTGCTTCATTGGCATTCTGAAGATTACCAGAGGGAGGATCAATCAATTAATCAAATCGAACCAATCCAATCGAATCCAATCAAAATGAATCAATGGAGCAGGAGAGATCGGGTGAAGGATTGAACCCGAAGAAGGCCGGAACGTCGTGGTAGAAAGGGTCGCGGACGATGGTGTCCATAACGTCGAAGAGGAGAACAGGGAGCTTCCTTTTCGGAGAGACATCACCGGCAATGCTGCCACCAAGAGTGCAAGAAGGCGTAGCCCGATCACGATTCTTCCAGGTGATGTTGGGTTTCAGGCTGAACAACTCCGTCGATGTATGCATCGCCGCCGCCATCAGAAGAAATCCCTTCCTCTAATCTCAGATCTGATCATCATCGAGTGGAAACGCGGCGTTTTGAGAGAAAATCGGTTAGAGAAGAAGATGATTAGTCCACGTCATTAAATTAGAGGTGACCTGGCCCATGATTTGCACGAAGCCATCCATGAACCGCCAAATCAGCCACGACTCTCTCAACTCTCAACTCACAACTCAACTCAACTCAACTCAACCGCCATCCATCATTCCGTCTTCTTTCTCCCCATTATAAAAAACGCTTCCTTTTCACCATTTCTATCACTTACTTACTTACTACTCAAAGCTCCTTGGAAACAAACACATACACCCTCTTTCTTTTTATTGTTTAATTAGTCCCTTAATCCAAGGTGAAGATGACGAGTTCTGATCCTTGTATTTCTAATTGCAATCTGATGATTATAATGATGATGTTGTGCATTTGGTCCGTGATGGCTGCGGAGGATCAAAGTCCTAAGGCTTTCAAGGTTGGAGACGAGTTCGGGTGGAGAGTTCCACTCCAGAATGATACAGCGGTTTACAGCCACTGGGCCAGCTCCAACCGCTTCCACATCGGCGATTCTCTCTGTGAGTAGTATAGTTTCAAAATTTTGTTATTGTAATTTACATTTAAAAACTGTGGATGATGATTGTAAAATGTGCTCGCATGCATGCAGCGTTTGTGTACGAAAAGGACTCGGTGATGGAGGTTGACAAATGGGGATTCTACCACTGCAACGGCAGCGATCCAATCACAGCGTTTGACAATGGAAACAGCACGTTCAATCTTGATCGTCCTGGCCTCTTCTACTTCATCAGCGGCTCCACCCTCCACTGCACCAGCGGGCAGCGTCTCATCGTGGAAGTGATGCATATCCACCACCACCACCACCATGATCAATCAATGCCTCCTTCCATGTCGCCTCTCTCTGCATCTGTATCTGCCTCTCCCTCTGCATCTGCATCTGGATCTTCCTCTGCCTCCATCCATGTCGCCTCTCTCTTCCCTCCCTTTGCTGCATTGCTTCTTGCCCTATTCTATTGCCAACCATAGCTAGGACAGCTCTTGTTTTTTGTTTTTCTGTTCTTGATTTTGTTATTCCATTCATCCAGCATTTATTGTGATATGACTCTTTATGTTTTCTTCAGTTACGTACGTTTTAACTAAGTTTCATCACGGTGTTCCGCTCCCTGTTTAAACAAAACACGACCCCAAGACTTTACCATTAATAAAATATTCATGAGTTACCCCAAGACTCTACTTAGGGCATCTCCATCCCTGAACTTCTGGTTGAAGTTCTTAATATTATATTAATAATATTTTTTTGAGTAATGAATAGTGAAGAATCTATGTTTTTTTTTCTCCTCCATCCCTAAACCTCATTAGAGGTTTTTTAGGAATAAAAAATAATACAGCTCTGTGTTATCAGTATATAAAAAACAAAGACAACCTCAAAATCTTAAATGTTTTCTGCTTCATCATCTGTCTTCAAATTCTTTCTTAAACAAAGACAAAGCAGTTTTAAAAAAGAGATAATCTTATACTAAGAAGACACAAACACTATCAGGAACTTCGGGACAACATTTTTAAGGAGGACGATGATAAAAAGCTCAAGCAACTTCATCCGACCTCTGATTCTCTTTCTGAAGCTGCTCTTCCACTTTCTTAAGAACCGGAGGTCGTAACGTACTTCTAACAGCTGCAACAACTGCAGCAGACATTGCAGGGTGCCCAATGCCTTTGCTGTTATCAACTTCATCATCATCACTTGCATCCATCAAGTCCAACCCAGCCATAGCTGTTGTAGTTAAAGAGAGAAGCCGCTGATGGAGATGCAACCGCTGCATCTAAAGAACCGCCTTCAGAAGGCAAGACAACATTAGAAGCACTGGAAGCAGGTTGCTCTGAGTTCTGTGATGCAAGTGCTGCTAAAAACATACTTGCAGTTGTTTCCTGAAAATGAGAAAAGCCTAAGGCATTAGTAAGCAAACAAAATAAAACCCATAAAACGAAAATGTAATACAAGGATAAACAACATCATAGCTAAGTGTGTAAAGGGGGAAAGTGACATGATTTTTAGAAATACAAGATATAGAAATTTTGATAAAAACATGCTTCAGATCAGGAAATATGTAAAGGGGAAAAAGAAAAGAAGTTCAGTTGGGTCTTACGGCCCTGTTCGTTTGTCAGCCGCCTGCGGCTGCGGCTGCGACCTGCGGCTAGACGCTGCGACCAGACGCAGATGATTGTTGTTCGTTTGTCAGCCGCGCGTCTGGTCGCTGCGACTGGTCGCAAGTTTGTTCGTTTTGCAGCCGCGCGGTTAAACGCTGCGTCTGATCGCAAGTTACGTATTTTTGTTCGTTTGCTAGCCGCGCGTCGATTTTGTTTTTACCAAGTTTTTCATTTAAATAAAATTTTAGTTATTTATAAATTTGTACATTTACATTTTAATAAAAGCATACTTTAAATAGTTTCTAAATTTATAAAAAAAAATTAGTTAGCAATTATAGTAATAATTTTTGTAATCAAATCTAATTATACCATTATAATCTTTGTGATAAAATCATACAATTTACTAAAACCAAAAAAAAAAGATAAACTAAATCATTAAAATAAAATAAACCAAGTCATAAATTAAGTCATTAAATATAACAAAACATACGTAATAATACACCAAATCATAAACGAAACAAAAAACAAAGTCATAAACTGAAATATCTAATAAGGTAATCGATGACGGCTACCATATTCAGTTGTGAGAGTGTCGCGCAAAGCTTCCATCGCTCTATCACCGGTTGGCTCATAAAAAATATGTCCACCATGATCTTCTTCACTGCTACTATCATCAATTTCTTCATCTTCTTCCCTTCTTACATCTTCATCACCATGAGTATTATAATCTTCTTTATGCCTCTGCCTCTGCATTTCTACCTCTATATGCCTCTGCATTTCGACTAGGAGGGCGAACCGGGATATGAGTTCCATCAAGTGCTCCAATACAGTTTTTAAATGGTCGATATCGGTTTCCTTTCGTCAAAACGGGGTGTACTCTTGTAAACTCACCTTCTTCTGGTTTTAGTGTATCTGCGGCAAACTTGAGAAGAACACTCAACACATCATCAAGTTTCCTTTTCACTGTATCCAATGACCGTTGATATCTTTCAGCTATAACCCGCATAGTCATATCTTGACCGACCACCTCAAGAAACATGGCAACAGATTCCTCAACGTAAACATTTTCAGACTCCCTTAATCCATATCGCCTAGCTAGCATCTTGCACAATTCTTTAAATGGTCTCTGCTTCATTCGAAGAATACATAACATTGCTGATCTGATCCATGCATAAGCTTTTGAACATGACGCCATCCGGCTCCTCGATCTGTTCTATGACTCAATCTCTCAGCAGTAAGCAAATCAAAAAAACCAAGTTCATCATCATCATCTTCATCCTCCAATATCCATCTTCTAACCATCTGCAAAATCATATCAAAAACTTATATCAAGCAACATCGTGAATGCATCATTGGCTATCTTGTTCCACTATGTCGAAAAATCACAAGAATCTCAAGTAAAGGCATTGAACAAGATCACACATCCATGACCCAAGAATTCAAGGAAGTTTTTTGATGATGATATCATCAAAATAATATAGTTTTAGAGAAAGCCCCGTCTTCTGAAAACCCCTAGTGTCTATTTTTGAAAACGACTCATCCATGAAAACTAAATCCCTTAAAAAAAAGATTCATCCTTTTTAGGTTGAGCAATTGAGAATACAGAGATATACAATATTACCTGCACTCCTTTGACTTGTATCTACTGAATAAGCTCTGTAAACACACCTGTTGCATGAATATAAACAAATATATAAGTTCTAAGGCATATCCATGGAGATTCTATACTAAAGCTTTAAAGTTGATCAAATCCAAGACTTTTGTTTCCCACGGTACAATTCCACTTCATTGAACTGAAATATTCTTTGCAACAACATTCACATTTTCCACTAATTATCCTTGTACTCTCGCATTCATATTCCTCTTGTCCATCCTATGGCTATCGTTGCATAAAGATAAGCACCAAGCTCCAAATTCAGAAAAAAAAATCGACAGGTTTGCAAGCAAATTAACACAGTTGCCTATTTCCAGTTTGAGCACAAACTTCAGACATGTCTCAATCGATTACTGAATCAAAAACATGGATAGAGAAGAAGAAGAAAAGATATAACACAAAAGTACCTTTAAGTTGTCATTCAGCTTTAAAAAACAAAAACAGATTGTGTGCAAATCGAGCAGGCATAAAAATGCAGAGATACACTTCTAAAGCAGACGAATCTATCAAAAACCCATGAGCTACAAAAGAACCTAGCAACGAGATCGAACTTTCTCCGACACTAAAAACTCAATAACACATTCTCATTTTCAAAAGTCAATCAGATTAGATTTACAGATTCGACCTGGGAAGAGAGAAGAGGATTGATGGAGTTTGGAAGGTGGGTTTAAAGCCGCTTCTGCCCCCGATCCATTAAACTTTTAAGCTCAGCTGATGGAGAAGATGGAGAAGATGAATGGGGAAGAAGAGTTTCGGCGCAGAGAAGAGAAAAAGATCTCAACACTTTTTTTTTTAGGGTAAATATCTTTTGTAATTAACAAATTGTTATAAGGTTAGCTTTGTAATTTACAGTTTTAAACGCCGCGTCTTTTGTCGCAACGCTGGATTTGATCAGCGTCCAAAAATTAAAGATGCAGAACGCAGCGTTTGGACGCCGCGTCTGGCCGCAGGAAGCTGCGTCAGAGTAACGAACAACAAACGAACGCAAGCCGCAGCCGCAGCCTCCTGCGGCAAGCAAACGAACAGACCCTACGTCTCTTTTGGAGGTTGACCAACCACATGAAAATGGAGACATGCCGATAGTAGGAATGCCCTCTGCAAGAAACCATAAAGTTAAGCTTCCAAATTCATATTTTCCTCTCAGCAAGATATAGTTTCAGAGGATAAAAAAAGAGAAACATAAGAGGTACTTCGGCCAAGTGCTCTTACAATTTCAAGATTAAGATTTGTGACCTGCAAAGGAGTGGAAAGAGGAACTATCAGAACAACTCAAGACTAGCTCAAGTAAGAGTATTAGCATTGGCAGAGTCGCAACAAAACCAGCGTTGACAATAAGTTTCTCAAGTCCTCCTTAATGAACACCTGATCTCTGGCCTGAAAGTGCCCAAAGGAACCTACTAATGCAGATTAGAAATATAAATCCCCCACCAAGAAAACTAATACTAAATAACAGCTCAAGAACATAAGCAGGTCAATGAAACCCATTAGTGTTCAAAGTCTCATTGATCTATAAGAACTAAGCAAATATGTGCTTCCTTTTGATCCTTCATTATAAGAGTTAAACAGAGACGAATCAATGTCCGAACAAGGAATTAACTAACCTGCGCCATGAACCACAACAAATTTGCTAAATTCAGAAGAGTCTTGATCCCCCAAATCATCCACATCACAAGAAATCTCAGAGCTCCCAGGTCTCTTGCTCCAATCCAGTCCAGTAACCTTCTTTCGAACTGAATTTTCTATCTTAGCCTGACATAGCTGGCACGCCACGATCTCCAGATTCTCATCGTGAATCTTCTCAAGCTCTTTCTTTTGTCGTTGCCGGATTTGAAAACCAAACCAGAATCAAACCCATAAGACTAAAAACAGAAATGCGATCTACGAATCGATCGAGGAAAGATGTGAAGACAAACCGAGTTTCACAATGCAACGAATTGATCTGCTTCAACTTTTAACGAATTAAAAAATGGTCGATAAAGTTTTTCAGGAAAGAAAAATGTCTGATGAAAATTTTTCCACACAACTTTGACGAATAACATGCTGACAGCTGGCCGATGAAACTCTGATGATACGGGTTCTATAAGTTCACTGGGATGATACCGTATCATCCAATTTGAACTTTATTTATTTATTTTAAATCCAAAAATTTGCATATGGCCCACTTATAATACCCGAGTCATCCCGCGATGGAGATGGTTTTATAATCATTACGTAAATAAAGAAAAATAATGAAAAATGTCGCTTGACGCGGGCCTCCTCAGTCACAAGATTTGTTATAATGGGCCTAATGTAAATGATATGGGCTTTGCCCAGTGAAAGCGTGAGAGAGAGCGCAGGAGATTGGGGAACGAGTGTGTGGATGGCGCTTTCTCTTTCTCTCGGCAGACCGAGCCTGAGCGTGAGCTTGAGCGTCGTGGCACCTAGAAGACGGTTTGCTTCGATACGATGCGGGCCACGCGACAACCGGGGACCTCTTCTCAAAGGTCGGATCCTGAGCTCGGAAGCCATCCAATCGATCCAGTCGCTGAAGCGAGCGCATCGCACAGGCTCAGTCTCGCTCAGCCTCCCTCCTCTCCGGCGCCTCCTCAAAGCCGACCTCCTAGCCGTCCTCCGTGAGCTTCTCCGACAGGACCAATGCACCCTCGCCGTCCACGTTCTCTCCACCCTCCGATCCGAGTATCCTCCAGTCGACCTCACACTCTACGCCGAGGTCGTCACCGCCCTCTCCAGGAACGGCGAGTGGGAAGAGATAGACAGGCTCATGGGGGAGCTGGAGGGAATTGAGGGCGGTTACGAAAGCGACAAGGCCCTGACGAAGCTGATAAAGGCGGTGGTGGGAGCGGAGAGGAGGGAGACGGCGGTGAGGATATACGAGATGATGAGAGAAGGGGGGTGGGGCTCGGAGTCGTGGCAGGCAGACGAGTACGTGGCGGAGGTTCTCAGAAAGGGACTCAAGAGGCTTGGGGAGGAAGACTTGGCCACTCAGGTGGCCGCCACTCAAAACTCTCTTTTAAGGTATCAATTTTGATCTTCTCTTCTTCTTCTTGGAGTTGTTTGTTACACAATACTCTATATTTTGTGATCCTAAAGAAGGATGAATGTGTTTTTGGAAATGGAACAGAGTAAGTAGAACATGAGGAGGGAGGGAGGGAGGAAAAACTCTCTCAAAAGTCCAAACAGTGTGAGACTGTCATCTTCTGGGGGATAGCTTCCCGGTCCTTTTGCACTTCTCAAATCTCCTCTCGCCTTGCCAATTCTACTTTTTCCATTCGAACTCCTCTTTTTGGTTTGGTTTGGTTAAGTGTTGCTTAATTCCGGTCACTTGATTATTCAACTCCACCCATGTGTTGTTCCTCCTCTGTCGTCCCAAACAGTCTAATATAATAATAATATTCGATTCCAGGCCTGCCCGATATTAATTCACAAGAAAGACTCTTATGGAAATATAATAATTTTGGGCCTTATTATATAAAAATAAATTCTCCTTATGACTTATTTTCTTCCAAATTTTATATATTATTCGGGGTTTTTAGCCAAAAGTATACTGTGTAATAAATACTAGTATAATTTGTCATTTGTTGTTGTACTATTGATCCAGATTTAAAGAAATTAAAAAGTTTGATCCAGATTTTTAATAACGAGGTCATTATTCACATCTCTCTTCACTTGGATGTATCAACAACATTTGTATGGGTTAATCATCATTCATCAATGAAAAAGATGTTGTTACCAATAAAAAAAAAAACAAAAAAATCTGTCAGAACAAACCATTATGATTGGAAAAAGACGATAACAGCCTCGTCGGCCATGTACTAAGAAGCTTTGCCTGGTCTATTGCCGGAATTCCAAGCCCTAACCACCGCCAATGACGCCGCCTGACGATGCTTGGATCCGTTCTCATCAGCGCTTGCTTCCCCAGTCGCAATCGCTTCTCTCTTCCCACCATCGGGTATGCTCTGCTCTCATTCAGATTTCTTCATGTTTTCCTGGCTTGGCCTGGCTTGGCTTTTATGTGGGTATTCTTATGGCAGTCAGCTATTGCGGTTGCAATCTCGAGAGTGAATCAGCTTGACGCTGCACGGCTAGACCTTGAGATGTCTGCCATGTTGAAGGAACAGCTGGTTAAGGTTTTCACTTTGATGAAGGTAATTCGCAACACTTTGGTTTTCCTCTCACTCTTCTTGACCCTAAACCCTCCCTCACTGCCTTCTCTTTTTTTTTTTTTTTTTCTTTTGGGCATTAGCCAGGAATGCTCTTTCAATACGAACCAGAGCTCGATGCTTTCCTTGAATTTCTCATTTGGAGATTCTCTATTTGGGTTGACAAACCTACCCCTGGAAATGCTCTCATGAATCTAAGATACAGAGATGAACGAGTAGCACAACAATGGCGTCAAGGTGTATTATCATTACCTCCACCTTCCTTTCTTTTTTTCTTTTCTCCTCCTCCTCACTGATGTACTACTACTTTCTCTCTCTCTCTCTCGTGTAGTCAGAACAGGACTCGAAGGTCCCGGACTCACTGCTCCTCAAAAGATTTGGTACTGTGTTGCCTCCGTTGGTGGTCAGTACCTCTTCTCCCGTTTGCAGTCATTTTCTGCTTTCCGTAGATGGGGTGATTCTGAGCAGGTCTGTTCTTCCTCTACACTCATACATGTAGCCTAGTCTTCCTCATCCTCACGCACCTGGTTTCCTTATTTCCTCTCTCTCTCTCTCCTCTCCTCTCCTAGAGACCATTGGCCAGGCGACTTTGGACCCTCATACAACGTATCGAAGGCATCTACAAAGCTGCTTCTTTTCTTAACTTATTGTCCTTTCTTTACACGGGAAGGTACGGTTTGTTACATGACCTTGTTCATTTTGTCTACGTACCCTGATTATTCATACACTCATGCCAGTAAAATTTATCTGACCACTGAAATCTGATGCGCTTCTTTCGATGCACTAAGAGTCAGTTAATGGTTACTAGCTTCTAGGACATACAGTTTTTACCGGACCTTGTCAATGTATATAGCTTTTTGAGTTCACAACGCACTCGTGAAACGACAACTGAATGTCGGTTGAGGCTGTATAGTTGCTTGTTAGTAATGCACGTTTTAGTCTATGAACCAAATACCGAAATGTCTTGCTGTTCACACAAGTCCTAATTAATCTGCCACTATTCAAATTGACTTACAAAATTCCTGTTTTGCGGTGGTGTCTTTTTCTAATTTATCTTTTACTGTCTTAGTTTACAGTCGGAGGCTTAAATATTGTGTTGTTCAGAAAATGTCATATGAAACTGCTTAAATTACAAGAGATTATTTGACAACGCGTTTATTAAGTTCTAAGTTCACGATGGAAGATTGAAGCAAGAACCATAATCACATACAGAAACATCTTGACGATTCTCACATCCTTTACGTTTCTTTTTCTTTCTTGATCCAGGTATAGGAACCTCATTGAAAAAGCTTTAAGAGCTAGGCTTGTCTATATGAGTCCCCATATGAACCGATCTGTCAGCTTCGAGTACATGAATCGCCAACTTGTCTGGAATGAATTTTCGGTAGGTCTTCTTCTGTTTGTTGCATACATATGCCATAATCAACCTATCAGTTCTCAGAATCATCCTTGGCTGATGGTTTCTGGCCTATGATTGAAACTCACTTGTCTGTAACATTTTCTTGATTGAGACTCTCTCTCAGCTTAGCTTTACTGACTGCTCGAACTTGAGCTGTTAAAAGCTGAAATCGTTTTGTGTCTATATCTGGAATCTGAACTTGGTAGAGCCTGTGACCCAACAGTTTCATGGCAGTTCAAATATCTTGTCTACCTTTCAAGACAATGTTGTTGTTGCTTTTTCTCCCTTTCAGGTCAAAACATTCTTTTTAGACTTATCGAGTTATTGGCTCAATAGATGAGTATTTGCCTTGTCTGCTGTCAGAAACGTTACGTTGGGTCTGATTTTGGGATTCAGCTTTCGATTTGTTTGGTGATATTCAGGAAATGCTCTTGTTGCTTCTTCCGCTGCTCAACTCTTCAGCCGTTAAGAATATCCTTAGTCCATTTACCAAGGACAAGTCCTCAAGCAATAAAGCGGATACAGTGACTTGTCCAATTTGCCAAGTCGATCCTGCAATTCCGTTTATTGCTCTGCCTTGCCAGCACAGGTATGGTTTTATTATTCTGTGGTTCTCTGCAAATTTGTTGGATCAGGAAAGGGTGATTACCTCTCTTCCCCAGATCTGTACTATATATAGTTAATTCTACTAGAAACTAAGTAAGCAACTGCATGTGATTGCGTATTTGAAGAATCATGGGGTGGATACAATCCATATGAAGTTAGACAAGAGAGAAGTGAAGAATACAGAGAATGCGTTATTATATAGTTATTACTTACAGTTAAAAAAAAATGACTTGCGCCAGGTACTGTTACTACTGCATAAGGACCCGCTGCGCGTCAGCAGCATCATTCCGGTGTCTTAGATGTAACGAGCCTGTGGTGGCAATACAACGGGAAGGTGTTTCAGATGGCAAATGAATGGAGGTGAGGAAATGTGGTGGTGGGCGAAGCTGTTGCAAGTAGTTTTGTGGGTGCTCAGAGTTACTGAAGAAACGAAGTGTAAAAATTCAAAGGCAAGCAGCCGAAACCAGACTAGAATCTGATGACGGTTGTTTGCAAACAGACTATAGAGTAAGGGAATAAAGGCAGCAAGAAACAAGTTTAGATAGATAGATGTACTTGTGTACGTTGAAAAGTTCCGGTCTTGTCTTATTAGAAAAACCAATTGAAACGTCTGCTACACTTTGAATAATAGCAATCTCAATATCAATCTCCTTACATGTGGTGTCTTACTTACTACTCGCTCCTACTTCCATATTAATTAGTGGTACATTTTACTTCCCCAAGGCAAAAACAGAGCCAAAACAAATATGAATAATGATGTATCACTGGGTGGCAGAGAGCAGACTGATTTCTATCTCTTGGAGGCTCTTCCCTTTAGTCTCAATCACGTTCTTCTGCACAAAGACAACTGCCACCACGCAGAAGAACCCAAAGATTGCGTTAAGAAGCACTGAACCTAGTTGCTCCAGCATTCTCAGAAACAGCAGCCCCACGAAGAAGTTTATTACCTGTTGTTGCGTCACTCTCCAAGCTTATTATTATTATATTATTATTATTATTCTAACGCTGTCCATAATATCCACAAAGAAAAAAACCCATACCCAGTGAACAGCAAGACAAACAGCCAATGCTGTTGCCCTTAGACGACCAGGGCATATCTCCGACAGGAGAAGACTTGGAACAGGACCAGCTCCGGTTGCAAACGACAACACAAACCTGCATTTGCGAGTTTATCAAATTGCCCCTTTCCCTTTCCGCTACCAATACTTGTTACACAAAACTTACAGTAGCATTCCTCCGACCGAGAGAAACAAGGTTCCAAAGGGTGATGAAAACGAAGTATATGCTATTGCTTGGAGTCCCAGCGATACTGCCTGTTAAAAGATGATACAATTCATGGAGCTCTGTTAAGTATCAGCCGTGTCAAGTTTCATTTTAAATAGCGATCTTCACTGTCAACCATTACCATGCCCGCAAAACTCCCAATAAGCAACACTTTTCTCCCCAGCTTATCCATCAAAACTACCGCTACAGTAGAACCTGTACGACAGCACCACTGATGTTTACATTCGTTTTACAAACAAATCATCATTTCACTTGAAAGTTTCAATATGTTTTAAAAGAAAGATTTTGAGTGTCTTGTTTTCATAATCATCTTTGTTACTCCTTTAAGCTCATGATTAGTATACCATTTGTATTCGAACCTCAACCACCTCATCTACTGAGACAATTACGGTGGAAGACGCATTTCGCCTACTTGCTTATCTAGATTATCCTTAACACGATGATGCCTTCCAAACTATTGTAGAATATACAGGAAAAGGTCACACTTGAATACCTAAGAGGTTGCAGACTCCCACACATATGTTTGCAGAGGCTGAAGGTACACCAGCTTTCTTGAAGACAGTTGATGAGAAATAGAACACAGCGTTTATCCCAGACAACTGTTGTAAAGCAAAAAGGGTAGATCCAATGAAAACCACTGCAAACGGAGAAAATTAAAACGTAAAAATGAATGAAGTTTTGAGGTTTCACATGTCATCCATATGTTTTTGCAAATGACAATGACTCTTTCTGGCTATGGATCCAGCTGAACCGGCTAACATACCTTCCGCGTAGATGATTGAACTCTTTGACGATCAGGTCTAACCCCAACCTCATTTCATCAAATGTCTAGGCTCAAAGGTAATCAAACTCTAGATCTAATATTTGACGAGACACCACTTCCGGAATATTTGACATCAAAAGAATGCCACAAGTTTTCACACATACCTCTAAAACTGCGCCCAAAAAGCAATTCTGACAATTTGGCTGAATCGGCATCATCTCCCCTATCCGACTTCATTAACTCTGCCATGGCAGCTTTGACGTATGCCCCTCCCAGTAGCTTCTCAAACACGGCTTCAGCTTCAGCTACCTTTCCTCTCTGAGATAAAAACAGAGAAAGTGAATCAACGGAAAGATGGTTTATGAAAATGTCTTTAAGAGCTATGCGGGTTAGAATGAGAAAAAATCACCTTGAAAAGCCACTGAGGACTTTCGGCGCAGAGTTCCATGAAAACAGCAAGAATTACAGCTGGGACTGTGGATATCCAAAAACATATACGCCACCTTACACAGTCAAGAACATGAAACCTATTAGCTGATCATTCTGTCAAGATGTCCAGATGGCACATATTTTGGTCAATATTGGTGATCATCAACCAAGCAGACTAAAGCATGTGATATGCTAATAGTTTCGAAATTTCAGGATTCCTTTCCCTGCAAAGCCGGTTCCCAATTTAAATTATACTAATGGATTTTCAGCAAAATTTGTGGACCTAAGATGAGGGGATTATAATAGATTTGCAGCATCTCAACCAAACACCAAAGATCCACATTTCGCATAAGTGAGTTTAGACTGGACAACTAAAATCAAACATGCCACCTGAAGCAGGCGAAAAAAGAGTTGACTACCATGCGCTAGGAATTCACGAATGGCGTAGAGTTCCATTCTTATCTACCCAGAAGATACATTTGGTTCGAGGCCTATCAAAATCCCTAAGCTTCGCCCACACAAACCAGTTTTAGGGTTAAGTTTAAAGCATTGTAAGAGGCCATTGAGGCTATTTAGCCTTGTTCTTCAATATCTTACCAGCCCAAATTGTCTTTTGCTGGGATTCCAGCAAATAGTGAACCTAAGAGTCCCAGACACGTCGCAATTTGCGTAGAGCTGCCATATGTGCCTCTCACATAAGCAGGTGACACCTGCAAAGTGAAAATGTGAGCCTCGCTCTGAATAAGATGTATTGACAAAGCGAGTTAGTGAAAGTTATGTGCCTAAAATATAGCTTCCAGGGTGCGAATAAAGCTTTAGGTAAATCCAGCGATGCGAATAAAGCTTCCAGGATTGGAGATTTTATAAAAAAAAAAATATGTGCGCAAATGAACTTCTGCGTGTTAGTGGTCCAGTTCATGTATTTTTAATTTTTTATGTCTGGAACATACGTCAAACGGCTTTTGATAAAAAAAAAAAAATGGTGCTGAATTCCACTGATAGAAAAAATATTTGTGGTAAACATGTTGATTTGAAGGATCAAATCCAAGACTCGCCACGGAATTTTACGTCAACTTATATTTTACATCAACAGTTGTGAGGAAGCAATTTCATACAACGATCATAGAAAAACAAGTGCTTAAACGAGGACTTAAAAATATATGTTAAGTACCTCAGTGACATAGAGAGCCGTAACAGAAGGGCCTATGCCCATCCCGATTCCGACAAAAAACCTTCCAAGGAGCATGCCCTCAAGACTCTCAGTTGTTGCACTGCAAACAGTACATTTGTAAGCACACAGATCTCGTGAATTTATATAGACTCTGGACATAAGAGCAACACAGTGACTTAAACCTAACGAGTGACTACACCTTGGCATAAGTGAAAATCCATCAAGACAATCCCTTGAGGCCAAATATGTTCAAAGGAATAACCAATTGCCAATAACAAAAAGTCGGCCTAAAGACATCCAACCAGAAAATAACTAACTGCATAATGACTACCTAGACAGCAAAGTTCAGCAAATCAGCAGACACTAATTTGAATCCGAAATGTTCAAATAAGTGACAACACACGTTCAACCAAAAATTAACCAGATAATAAGAATCCACGACCTACTATAACAAGTACCTGATAAGAGCCTATCTCAGACAGGTCCCAACAGTACACAGACATGCATAATCAACAGCCTAAGCAAAAACATAAGCAGGACATAAAGATCACCTCAATGAAGCTCCAACAATCATTGGTAAAGCGCTCAACTGAAAAGCTCTACGGCGCCCAACACCATCCGCGACCAACCCACTGAAGAGAGATCCAATAAAGGCGCCGCCTAAGCACGTACTAACCACAAGACCTTCATCCACCAGAAAGAAAGGTTTTTGGAATGATCAGACAGAAGGATAGACACGATGAATGAATAAACAGAAAAACAAGTTATCTTATTGAATAGGTACCTTCAGCGATGGTGTTCCCACTAAAGCCAAGGTCAATTGATATGCTTTCAAGAGTTTCATTAACAACCCTGTATCCAGAAAAGAAACATGAATTTCCTATTCTTCCCAATTACATACATTCAAAGGAAACAGAGTCATTGAGGTACATATAGATATCTGTGATCGAATGATTTAATAACAACAATGCATTGAGAAGAAACACAGTTGAAGTCTATCAACTAACTCTGCAGAAGAAAAAGATAACAAACTAGCAGCATGAGACGTATATGTTCTCTCTGTTAATGCACACATGAAAAGAAAAAAAAAATGACAGAAAGAAAAAGAAAAAGGGTACAAATGGCACAAGGAGAGACCCAAGATGATAGCCGAATAAAAGAGAAGTCAATGATGCGACGAGCACATGAGGCAAAGATCGCTTCCAGGAAGGATTCCCGATGTCTTTTCCCGTTCCAGTCGGCAGACGCACTGGAATTTACAGTCATAGTCAGCATAAGCGGAAGATTCAAGATAGATGTCAAAATGCACAGATTAAAGTGCGAGTAAAAATAGATAAATCTAAATTACAATGCTAAAGCTAAGGCGCAAACATCGATATCTATATTCAGAGCAGAGCTCAAGGGGTACAAAGCTAACTTTTGCAAAGTAAAGTTTCATGAGCCCAGACAAGAAAAGATCGAAGTCCTTCTTTTATCTTAACACATCATTCCGTCTGCGCAAACCACTAAAAAAGTAAGAATCCAACCTACGTGATGGAGTCAAGCTTTCTTGTTTTTAACTAATAGAGTATTTTGAGTTCAAAGTCTGAAATTCAAAGTTGTTTGTTTGTCTTAAGAATTTGACGGCCATGTATACCATTACAGATTTATTAAGGTTTAAATAATGAGGGATCAACACGTAACTCTTGGAACGTCGGAAGATGAGATGATTCTAATGGCTCTGTGTTTTCCTTTCCGGAAAACTTGTTCGTAGTTGTTGTAAAATATGTCTAACAAAGAACAAGGGGCAGCAAATATCGCAATGCAATGCATCTTGAAAGAGGATGCGAGAGAAGATGAAATATATATATATATATATTAAAAAAAAAAAAAAAAAAGAAACCTGCAGTTTCAGCTTTATCCAAAGCAGAGAGAAACTCTTTTGAAGGAACACGCTTGTCTATGTGACGACCTCGCATTATGGTGTAAGTGCGTCGAACAGAATCCATCCGCTACTACTGCACATAAAAATTCAATGCACGTGAATGCAACGCCCTATAACTTGTATAAGAGAAGCTTCGCTTATACAAGAAAAACTCATACAAACACTAATTTAATTTAAGGAAAGCTTTCGAGTGCTAGTGTCCGTATTGGAGGTCGCTTATACATAATCAAAACTCAATTTAATTTTTTCTTTATTAAAAAAAAAAAAAAAGAAGGAAAATCGAAGGCCACATGACGTGACGTGAGCTAGTAGGAAGAATCCAGGAATTCAAAAGCAATAGAAAGTAGTCGAAGAAAAAATGCTGACGACGGATGATGCGAGAAAGTGAGATCGTCGGATCTGATGGTACAAAATGGCGAAAAAGTTTGGATGGGCACAAACATGGCAATGTAAAATTAGAAACAAAATGTCGATTCAAACGGCAATGGCAGATCTAGCAGCTTAGGACGATCAACGAAGCGGAAAAATCAAAATCAAAAGAGAAGAAGGATGATAGAACCTGGAGAGGAGAAATGATTTAGAGGAATCGTCGAGTCGAAGAAGCTTAGGCTTTGGCTTTTGGCTTTTGATTTTTTAGAGTGTGGAGCTCAACTTAATCATCATCAATTTATCATCCGTCCCGTCCCGTCCCTCGTAAGCAACACTTATAATAAAGCGGAAGCTTTGGCCCGATCACACTCCCAGATGCTTCACTAATCTTCCCCCGAGAGACGATTTCGGGTTTTAATCACCTGCTTCGCCTCTACCCTACCACCACATTACCAATGCCGACCTCCATGTATAATCATCATCAATTATTCCATTATATATTATGTATATGGTACAAATGAAATAATGACACTTTATATACATTATGTGAATAAACACAAACACACACACAAACCAAAATTTTTTTTTTAAAAGAAACATGAAATAGTGTACAAACTTTTGAGGAAATGGATCCTCGTGTGACAAACAAAACAAAGAAATTGGTGCCGCCCGCAAAACAGCCAAGAACATCAGATGGCTCCATAATAATTAAGCACATACCTCTTGGGCTTAGGATTGGGCTTGGTCTTGAGCTTGGATTTGGGTTTTATTTTAATTACATCTTTTTCCTGCTGACTGTGAGTTTCTCATTCAGCCACATTTAGCTAACCTTAAGAATTTGGGCTTCATTCTAGTCTCTCACAGTTTTTGCTATTTGATATATGATGGGCGGTCTTTAACAAAGCCCACTAATGAGTTCAATCAACTTTTTCTCATAGAGACCACGGCTGTTTCTATTGCAGAGACAAGAAGACATGTTTATCATCATCATCATCATCATCATATACAGAGACAATACGAGACAGTCACACAGGGGTACTCTTAATTATTCTCGCTCCAAATAATTACGGTAAACTATAAGGCAAATCTTCTTTCGAGCAGCAAAACTTTGTTTTAAAGCCTCCTGAGAAAAAGGAAAAACAAAAAAAATTGAAATACTGTGCTTAGGTTGGTGGTAGCTTGTAGCTATACAATACTAGGAGGAAACAAGGATAAAATGGTCCCCTACTCATGAGCGTGAGCCTGTCAACACTTTGTTCACCAGCATCTTCATTACTTGATTTCTCATTGGATCTGTAAACCCAAAAATGAACAAGCCCGTGAGCAATGATGAGACTGTCCAACACTTTCGACTAAACTTTGTGTATGATATATAAATCTTAACCTTTAAACCAAAAAAATGATAAATACTGTGTATGTTTCTGCCTTACCTTGTTCACCAGCATGTTCACTTGCTCCCTGTACATTTCCTTCAAGTCCACTATATCCGCTCGAAGTTCCTCCAACTACCACCAAACCCAATTTTGATGTTTAACTCAAAGCCTACCACTGCTAATGCTGGATATATATCACAACTATCTATTTTATACACATATCTTACCTCCTCATCCCGTTCACCCATCAGTTCCAGCGCAGCCGCATGCCTTTGCCTCAATGCTTCCAGCTCAGCCTTCATGCCCGGCACCCTATCCGCTTCCCCCCTTAATTTCTCACACTACATCCACAGCGACCAAATTTAGACGGCACTTCCTTATAACACTGATCAGGAAATTCACAGCTCTAAAACTCTCGGCCCTATTTATATACCTCTGCTGTCATCTTGACTAGCTCTTCAGCCAGGGAATCTCGGATAGACTCCATTGATGCCTGTGGCAGGACAAATAGTACCAGGATATGTTAATCTTTTACAGTTAGAGATTCTCATTCTACATCAGTGGATGATACTCTTACTAGGAACCAGCCGTCCATAACTGGAGGTAGACATTTTTTAACCAGCTTATAAAAGAAGGGTTATTTCTACATATGATCCCGGACCCAACACCCATAGTGGCCCATTTTAACCGATCCGATGTGAGTTGTTATAAGGGTTGTTCATGTGAACCCAGATCCCATTTCCAAGCCAATTTCCAAAAGCCTACCAATAGAGCCTCACAAAAATGAACAGTTTGATACTTTCTACACCTACCAAGCGGGACATGTATGAAGCGAGTTCACCCTCTTTCTGGCGAAGTGTAGCTTCATAAGCACTCGGTGTGATGCTCTTCATGTAGTATGGACTCATAGTTGCCTCAGGCATGCTTCTCTTCTCAGAAAATTTATCTGAAGAATCAAGTGAAGCTTGCAGAAAATAGCTCTCCTCCATGCTGCCAAGGCTGCTTGCGCTTGAGAGCTTTCTTGGCAAGCCTCCTGATGACACAGTTAAGGTATCACAGATGCGCAAATCATAAACTATTGAGTATTAATCCAGACTGATATTCATCATACCATTCTCAAAGGCAGAATTCTGCCTTGCTATGGGAAGCTGTTCAGAGGGCGCCGAGGAATTGATATGGGCTGTTCTTTCAAGATCCAAACGGGAAGCCTTCTCCCTTTCTAGGTCCTGAAAAAGTTTCGGCCATGTAGAGGTACAACTTGGACAGTAAGAAGATGCTACAAGTAGCTCATAACAATATATTTTAAAATTGACAACCGCAGTGGAGTGGAATATACGTGCTACTTGGGATGAACAGTTGTGGGAAAGCACAACATTATTTCTTCGGAATCATTACTTTGATTAATTATAAAAAAAGGTGCTGGTTACGTCAGTCTTTTTAACTCCATAACTGTGCGGCATTTTTTACGAGACCAATTATTACTAGATAAAGCTGTGAAACTATGTAGCACCTTTTGAATAAGTTCGTTGTGGAGTAGCACTTCTTGCAACTCTTGCTTATGTTTTCTCCGCAATTCCCTTATTTCCACTTCAAGTTGATTTGCTCGACCTTCAAGGGTATCTGCTTCCTCCTTAGCTGCCAGATATTCCTGTCTATTCTCTGCCGCTCTCTGCCTCTCCTTCTCGAGCGACTTGCTTAACTGGCCCTGTTCTGCTCTAAGACATGAAAGCTGGATAGTAGAACTGGGTAAGCTAAAATTTAGTGAAAAGACGTGACATTAAATGAAGAAAAGTGTCAAGGTGCGTAGAAAACCTGGGCCTCTAGAACATTGATCCTTGATAAGGTTTGAGAGAGGCGTTCATTCACAGAGCGCTCTCGTTCTTCAGCTGTGGCAGCTTTAGTTTCTGCTTCCTGAATATTCATAGAAATTGAACAAAAAGATAAGAGAAAGTAAAAATAAATGCCGGAATATAATCATAGAGCAGTGATGTTCAGAATACCTGCAGTCGGGCATTTAGAGTTCTCTCTACAGCAGCCCAAGCTTCTGCTCTTCTGGCTGTATTTTCCTACAGTAAATAAAGCATGCAATATTACAAATTGTACCTTAAGTTTCTAATCTTTGGAAAATTTCTGGAAAAAAAAAACATATAAGGATCAACTCCTACCTGCATAGCCTCAATCTGTCTTAGGAGAGGCCTTGTAGAGTCAGGAACCTGAGTGATTAATTCCTCACACCTTCGCTCACTAGCCTACAGGAAAAAAATAGTTTAATAAAAGTAAGCAGAACAAACTATTAGTAAGTATAAGGATTGTTCAGACACCATGGGCTGTCGGAGAATGAGTAACCCAAAGACCATAACCAAAGAAAGAAATATGCTTGAATATAACAAAACGTCTTGATTTTTACCTGGTAACGTCTTTGAAGGTCTTCAATTTCTCCACGGAACATGTCTTCCCTATACACTGCCTGCACAAGAAAAAAAAAAAAAAAAATACCACCGACTAGGTAAGTATCGATTTAATTATCAGCTGAGATCCCAGAAGTAAATATCCCCAATTTGATCGAGTAAAAACCTGTTGCTCCTTTTTGCTTAAGGTTTGCCTCAATTCTTCCAGTGCCTGTACTAGCATAGATTCCCGCTCTCCGGCCTCCTTTAGACGATTCTCTAACTCTGTTCTCGCTTCATTGTTGGTACGCTCCTCAGCTAATGCTTGAGCTTCCTTTGCTGCAGCTAATGCATTCGAGTAATACTCTTTCTGAGAAGTAAGTTCGGCTTGATGTTTTTCTACGGTCTCTTGCAGTAGCTTCTCTGTAGCTGTCTTGTCTCTTTTAATACTTTCTACCTTATTTTCTTCAGACTGACAATTGAAAGGAAAAAGTAATACGCCAAAGTTTTAGTCTTTTAGATATTGAACCTGCCTACAAGAAGATTGATTTTCGAACAATTGTCTAACAAAAGCATCTGGAAAATCACCACAAGCCCTTCATGCTCTTTCATACTTATTATATGGTTAGTGAAACACAAACAGCATCGCTCCCGACATCAATTACCTGAAGCTTTGTGATCAGTCCTTTCTTGTCTTCTTCTACCTCTCTAATCTAACACGCAAACAAATAAGGTAAGAGAAGAAGCAATGAGATTGATGGTGCTACTAAAAATGAAAACGCGTAAACAATCATCATATACCTGAGCCCTCAACTTCCTGATCTGAGCCTCTTGAGCAGCTTGTTTCTTTGAAAGCTCTTCGCCTGAAATGATGGGCAGTAACATCAAGGGCTGAGCAAAAAATGAAGTCCTTTCATATTTCAAACATGTTCAAACAGTTACCGGTTGCTCTCGGGATGCATATAACCATTAACATTTTTTACAGAAAATTATGAACCACGATTCAAAGCATTCCAAAAGGTTTCCTCACCCTCAGCCATAACTTGATTTATTATTTCATCTTTCTCCTTCAAAAGGGCCGCAGCATCACTTTTCTTGTTCTGTTCTCTTCTAAGTGTATCCCTCTCTTTGGTGAGAGCATAAACCTACAAAGATAAGTACCGTAAACTTATATCTATAAAGAAAAGAGAAGAATAAAAAGAGAAAGATATATGTACCTTCCTCTCAAGAGTAGCAACTCTCTGATGGTATTCTTCTCGCAAAGACTCAACTTCAGCTTCATTAGATTTCCTCTGTTTCAGATCACAGAAGGTATTAGAATTTGGGTTAAGAATCAACACAAAGGAAACGAAGATGGTGGGAATGCTGAGTAAAACAATCAATCCTTCATCAAATCAAAAAACGAATTATCCGTTGACTTTCTAGTACCTTCAAATCCTCAGTGACAGATTTTAGCTGCTCGTTTTCATGCATCAACTTCGCAATCTCATCAGCCTTTGCCTGTAAACAAATCACCAGAGAAAAAATTGTTCCAGAAGCCCCAGATAGCACAACTCTGTCATGGAAACCTTAAGATGTACCTGAGCTTGCCTTGCAGCACCTTGTAGGGCATTTTCTAACATTTTCATTTCCTTTTTGGTCTTCTCTAATTCCAGAACAACATCAGCTGAGTTGGAAGCATTTGTTGCAGAGCTCAAACGCTGGCCCTCGTTCAATTCATTAGCATCAATCCGTGAATTTAGTTCACGAGAAACCAAATCTACAATGCTCTCGGAAATTTCATCTGAAGAAGATCTCTTTGGCACAGAAGACTCGTAAGCAGGAACGTCTGACTCAGTAGCTAAAGTGGGTTGAGTATCAGGGGACTCTATCCTGTTAAGCTTGTTTATATCGGTTGAACCTTCAACATTTATAGACGAGGTTGTCTCTTCCAGATTTTCACGCTGCCATTTCTGTTCATTTATTGTCTCATCCGTATCAGCAATCTTATGCGGTCCTTCAAACACAGGGGAGTAAACTACGTCATTGTTTGCTACAAAAACTTCTTTGGTTCCAGAATCCTCTGGCTTTGGCTCCTCTGCCTCTGATCTAGATTCTTCCGACTTGGGCCGCTCTGGCGGTGACTCTTGGGAAGCTGTCATTTCCGGCTTGTCATTAGGTTCAAGACTAGTCGTGTAACCAGACGATTCAGGACGCTGAAGAGAGTATTCAGAAGACTCTTCGAGAACAATCTGCGATTCAGGTTCATTATCTTTGAGATCTAAAACGAGAGTCTCTGTTACCTCAGGAAATTCAGCTTGATCAGCTTGTCTTTGCACATCTGATTCTTTCTTTGCTTCGACGGATACTGCCTGCTCAGTGGCTAGCTTACCAGATCCTTCCTGTTCTTTTTCTTCGATCTGAGATGGATTTACTGTACTCACAGAATCTTCCAATTTATCCAGCTTCTCATCAGAGGTGTTACCCATGAAGGACATTACGGGATCAAAGAGACTTTTGGTATCAACTGCAGGTGGCCACGTACTTGAAGCTGCATTAAAAAGGAGAGGAAAAAAAAAACTAAACCGAGGATCTCTGTTGCGAACACCAACCAAGCTACAAGAAACTAATGCCACATTACAAAAGATAGCGATTTTTACTACAGTTATGTAAACACAGTATACCGCTGAAATCATAGCCAGCCTCTGATGTTTCTCATACCCAGAATGAAATACTGTGTGCTAGTTCTCTATCTGAAGCAAACTAGCTAGGCTACTAATAAGCAAAATACAACACAATCAACTAAGTTGCAAAATTGTATCATTGCAACAGCAGACATCCTATAGTATTAAATTGGTAGCTGATGATAACGTAAATTTTAACCAACGAGTTGAGAGAGCAGATTATTGCGATCCAGGATGCATGATATTGAGCATTCTTGGCCAAAAAAAAAAAAAGGAAAAGAGAAAAAGAGAAAAAGAGAGAAGAGCACCTTCACCGCCAGATTCCGACTTCTCGTCAAAGCCAAGGGCGTTGTCGAAATTCTTTTCGATGTTCTTAACGCTCTCCTGGAATTTATTTACTGCCCCAGTGAGATCTGGGAATCCTCCCAGAGAAACTTTTCCACTGAACCAAGCCATCTCCACCAGAAATCTGAAACTTAAATCTCAAAATTCACCGGACCAGATCCATCTCCGACCCTGCGCTTTTGAAGGAAAACAATCAAATTAAGATATTGGGGGGGGTTCTATTTTTTTTTTGTTTTTTTGTATCTATCTAAAAGACCAACTCCTCGTGATCTAGGATCAAGCGAGATCGAGAACCAAGTTTAGATCCACAAGAAGATCCTTAAATCAATAATATAACTCAATGCACAACTGGAAGAGATTCAAGCAAGGGGAGAAAGCTGGTGCGCCTGATTAGTTAATCGAGCAAAGCGATACAACGACAAGCATAGAGCTATTTATTGCCTATTGGGATCAGAAAAGCTTACGGCAAGGAGATGCGTCGTGATCGAATTGCAGAGGAGACCGACCCAACGTGTTTTTAGATCCAAATTCCACCCCCTTTTTTTCTCTTTTCTTTTTGGTTTCGTTTCTTTGTGTTTTTTCTCTGCCACCGGCGGCATAAACGGCGTCGTTCCACTAATCAAAGACGTCCTGGTCTTGGTTTGGTCCCAAATCCCGATTATCATTTAATTCACCAAATTTTTACTGTAATGCTTTGGTCTGAATAATTAACTAGTGCTGAATACGCCAATCAAAATTCTCTCTTTGTGAGAGAGTGTCGTTTCAAACTTTTACAATTTCCATTTGGATTGTATAAGTACGATTTGGTAAGAGAACAAATTCGACCGTTCAAATGAACAACAATATATACATACGTAAAGGTTATCACATAGTTATGTATATACTGTATGTAAGGAATAGTTAACAAATTGAATGGGTTGAAAAACATTTTTACTATAGTCTATATATAAGTGTGTGAAATATTTTTATGGGGTTTTGATAAGAGATTTAATTGACCCATGTCTTTTATGTACTAGTGTGTATGTCGTTTCTTATTTCAATGAAAGATTTCTAGCAAATAATGCAAAGTATATCCCAATATATGGAACTCACTAGCTAGCTGTCGCACAATTGCGTCTTTTAGTTTCATCCGATTGTCTGCAACTAACTATCCATCTCTTGTTTTGTGGTTGGAGGTACCAAAAATATTAGGAACGTACGACTCAAATGGTATCCTTTTGTAGATAAGTGAGTCAAATACATTTTAATATATAGATGAAGCAAGTTGTCCTCACTGTCTTTATCTGGCACAATCTCCCATGCCACCATTCCCTCCTCACACGTGTACTCAATGTCATATTTGCATAACATGTTCTGCTTTCAGTGTGATGTCATATTCCATTTTGGTGGGTCAATTCTCTTACTAGGTATTAATTTGTAAGGATGTAAATAAATAAAAAAGGATAGTCAGGTGTTAAAACAAAACAACCAGAGAAAAAAAAAAAAAAAAGGGATAGTAGTCAGTTGCATATTGGAATCATCTTAAGGGTTGTCTTAATTAATTTCTGTAGACCCTACTTCCAAAATTATTTAGTTGCATTCTTTCGCCTCTAGTTAAGAAAATAAATCAAAATGGACTGGTTTTGGAAGTTGCCAACGTGGGTAAGAAGAGATTTATCGTGGAAAGGAGGATTTTTTACCCAAAAAACTAAGTTGGCAAATGGAGAGCAGAGGAAAGCAGCAAAAAGGAATGAAAAGGAATCTATATAGGCAGTAGAACTTTAAAAATTAATATAGTACATAGAGCAAATTAAAGAGAGGTTAATTAATTAGGAATTATTACTAAATCAATTAATCAAAGCGCATGTGGTGAACGTTAAATGTTGTGGTTGCTTCACTCGGTATCTACCTTTCCTAACTAACAATTCCATCGGCCGTGCGACTTATTTACAACGAAGAAAGGCAAGTCTGATGAAGCTTTTGAATTGCTGATTCGTTTATAACATTATATATATAAATGTGTATATATATCACTTGATTTAATTAACCCCTTACTTTCCTTTCCCTGGTTACCTTTTCATCCATTAGTGTGCATATGTATATGGTTTAAGTCCTTTGTGCGAAAGAAACTTACAAAAATATAGCCTCTGTATTAATGTTTTGAAACTGTACAAATACTTTTTGTTTTTAAATAATAAGATAAGATGATCAAAATTAGCATGTCAAACATTACCTACACATGCATGCACCTAGCTAGCAAGGTGGCCTTGCATATATACATACATGATACATATATATACATAGAGAGAGAGAGAGAGAAAGAGTGAGAGATAATGTAAGTTGTATATAGATACGGTATACATTATAGTATTATACAATGTAGGTGGTAAGCAATAAAGAGAGGGTGGAGGAAATGGAAAGGGGTTGGAGGCAAATCCATAAAGAGCATTCATTTCCTTTTAAGGTCGCTGATATTAATGAGTAACGAGCGGTCAACGCCTCTCGTTGACCTTCCAGAAATCCCGACGTCTCTTTCTGTTTGCATATGTTGTATATCTCCCCGTCCCTGCAGCTCATGCACGTCATCTATCATTTTTTTTCTAATCCAATTTTTTTTTTTTTTTTGAACTTTCTAACTTATTCAACAACTCTTCCTGAATCCTGACTTTACTACATTTACTAGTCTTATTGTTTACTACTTCATATATACTGCTAGTGCTAGCAACCGAGGAGTGGATTTTTGGATTCCCGGAATATTTATCTATTATCATTATTATAAATTAGTTATTGGAGCACAAGGCATTAATTTAAGGTTTCCATGTAGCTGTAACTCTCTCTTGCCAATGCTTTTACATGTTCATATGCTCACGCACGCAAATACACTTGCTTGCTTTACAACGAAACTTATACTACACTATATATACGATAGGGTTTTCTTTAACCAAAACAAAATTAAAAATATTGAGACTTGATGTTGCATTTTTTCGTAGACATTAAGTTACTAAAAGTGTTTGAAAGAAGTAATCACAATAACGAATGCTACATATTAAACCATAACTAATACTATTACTAACTAGTATACAGTAATAAATAAATACAAGTCATAATTATAAGAGTAATGATGATAATTAAGGAGGAAAGAAGAAAGCAGAAAATGCGGTTGGAGAATTAGGTGCTTAAAGTTAGTTGAGTCCATCCCAGTAGTATCTAACGGTCAACTCTGTCTCTCTCTCTCTTTCGTCCTTGTAATTTTTAAACAATAATCTGACATATACATATGTCTTTCTCTCTCTTCTCTCCACACACAATTATTTTTTTTCAATTAAAAGAATAGACAGAGAAGTTCGTCTTTTGTTTGTATACCCTTAAAATCATTGCAACCCTTTTATTCTCATTCCTTCTTCCTGTCTAACAGTAATTTATAGGAACGCCATTGTGTAGTTTAAGCCGACTAAAACCATGATTATATATTCAGCCACATGATTTTCATCAATCGTTTGAGCAGAAACAAAACCAACATTTATATATAAAATAAAACTGATCGATCATTGGAAAGGAAAATTTTTCCGGATTCAAGAGCGAATCTGCTCATAAAAAATATCGCGCGAATATATATATATATATTTACAAGGAAAACGAAGTTGATCGATGACTGCAATTGATGTAGCTGGCCATGTTTAAAAGTAATCAAGTGCATATATTAAAAAGGAAAGGGTTAATTTATAAATTAAATGAAGCACCTAAAAGTCAAGCACGGGAGAAATATCTGAAAAACGACCGTTTATATATAGAATTAGAATCGAAGGGATAGCTTAGCTATATAGCGTTATACATTTTTGGTAGAAATAATAAATACATGAAATAAGAAAAAGAAATACGGAAAACGAAGAGAGAGGGATATATAAATAGAAGGAAGAAGAAGGAGAGGGAAGAAGATAAAGAAAATAAAGATTGGGAGCGTATGTCAATGGCCGTCGAGATGTCATCAAAACAACCCACCAAAGATTTCTTCTCCTCTCCAGCACTCTCCCTCTCTCTCGTACGTATACTCTCTTTTCTACGACGACATATATATAAACTTGTTAATTATATATAAAGATATACTCTGTGTTATTAATTAGTATATATATATATATTGATTGATTTTAATGGTGGACCGTATATACAGGCCGGGATATTCCGGAATGCATCCCCCGGCAGCACGAACCCTGAAGAGGATTTTTCGGGAAGAAGGTTAGCTGACGATGAGGATCGGACGGTGGAGATGAGCAGCGAGAACTCGGGACCCACAAGATCCAGGTCAGAGGAGGATTTGGAGGGCACAGAGGAGGAGGATGAGGAGGAGGAGGACACTGGTGCAGGAAACAAGGGCAACAAGAGGAAGAGGAAGAAGTATCATCGCCACACCACCGATCAGATTAGACACATGGAGGCGTACGTTCCTCCTTCCCTTTAACTCTTTAGATTTCGTCATGATCTCTTAAGGAAGAGGTCATTATTTCCCATTCCCTTCTTTCATTTAGGGTTTTAGCACAAAACAACATTCATTCATTATCTGGCCTTGCATCTCTCTGTACGTGTTCTCTTTTGAACAAATTCTACATCTTCATAAAACCCAAGAAACTTCTACATACAGTATATATCTACATTACATACATGAATTAATACGATGATGATCTCACACTTTGTTCCCATATACGTATATATATATATATGTTTATAATTTCATGTATCACCTCATCTCCATATATATAATTATTATTACTAGCTATAGTTATCGATCGTGATATATATATATATATATATATATATATAGGTGAGTAACTCATAGTATTTAGTGGAAGGAGGGTGTCTGGTGCTTGAAGAGCTAGCGGTATACATACACGCAGGCCTCTCCATTTCTATTGCCACTTAAAAAAAATAGAGAGAGCAGATATATTTCATGTAATGGACGAATTTATATTGCTGCCGATGATCATCACTAATTGCTATGCGTTTAATTACATGGTTTGCCTAGGCTTACTCTTTAATTCTCTCTCTCTCTCGCTCTCTTACTCGCTCTTACATGTTTTTGGTTGGACATGTCACATAGCTCAAATGGGACAAGTGTTAAATTGTTTCTTTCGATCATGATTAAAGGCAAAAGAGCTATATATCTATGTATGTAAGTTAGGGTTCGTTTGCCTACATATGTAAGAGTTTCATGTTTTAGAATACCCCCCACCCCCAAAAAAAAAAAGCAAGTTGGTTATATTATATATGAACAATATGATGTAAATCGGAAAGGGCATGGACAGGCTATTCAAAGAGACGCCGCATCCGGACGAGAAGCAAAGACAGCAGCTGAGCAAGCAATTAGGGCTGGCTCCTCGCCAGGTCAAGTTCTGGTTCCAAAACCGCCGCACCCAGATCAAGGTATGTATGTGTTTTATCCATTTACTACTACCACTACACGTGATATGATGATATGGATTCCCTAGAATAAAAAAGAGAGAATATATATATATAGTAGTATATATAATAAAATCATATGAAAAATGAACAGGCAATTCAAGAACGGCACGAGAACTCGCTGCTGAAAGCGGAACTAGAGAAGCTGAGAGAGGAAAACAAAGCGATGAGAGAGTCGTTTTCCAAGGCTAACTCTTGCTGCCCCAACTGCGGAGGACCCGATGACCTCCACCTCGAAAACTCCAAACTGAAAGCCGAGCTCGATAAGCTTCGTGCGGCTCTCGGACGCACTCCCTATCCCCTGCAGGCCTCATGCTCCGAGGATCAACAACACCGTCTTCTTGGCTCCCACGATTTCTACTCGGGCGTCTTTGCCCTCGAAAAGTCCCGCATCGTCGAGATAGCTAACCGAGCCACCCTTGAACTCCAGAAGATGGCCACCTCTGACCAGCCTCTTTGGCTCCGCAGCGTTGAGACTGGCCGTGAGATTCTCAACTACGACGAGTATCTTAAGGAGTTTCCCCAAGCTCATCAGGCCTCCTCTTTTCCTGGAAGGAAATCCATCGAAGCATCCAGAGATGTGGGTATCGTGTTTATGGACGCACATAAACTTGCCCAGAGTTTCATGGACGTGGTATTTTTTTTCTTTCTTACTATAATGTGTATTTAAAGAGTATATATGCGATATATAGTAAAACTGATCGTGTGGAAGTTGCAGGGGCAATGGAAAGATATGTTTGCGTGCTTAATCTCAAAGGCCGCGACGGTTGATGTAATCCAGCAGGGTGAAGGGCCTTCAAGGATCGATGGTGCCATTCAGTTGGTGAGTAATGTACTACTGATGATATATCACATTGGCTTTAATTATATATAGAGTGATGATAAAAATGACCCGACAGATGAGCTAATATATATATGGCTTGTTGTACGTAACTGGCAGATGTTTGGGGAGATGCAACTGCTCACTCCGGTTGTCCCCACAAGAGAAGTGTACTTCGTGAGAAGCTGCCGGCAGCTGAGCCCTGATAAATGGGCCATCGTGGACGTATCGGTCTCTGCGAGGAGGAGGACACAACACGGACAATATTGAGAGATCAAGGAGGCTTCTCCTCCTCAATGTCGTAA